ATAAGAAAACCATCAAATTCTTCAACTAAGAGCTGTTGCTATTGATGAGGATCACTGTTTCAGGTTACAACCAAAATCAAAATTGGGTAGGTAGTTTGTCATCTTTTTTTAAAATCCTTCTACATGTCATCTTTTTTTAAAATCCTTTTACATATGTATATGGGGAACAAATGGTGTTTTTGCTAGTGTGTCTAAGTAGATAAAACATTTCCAGGGAAAGCAACAAGATTTAGGGTAGGTCAAGTAATTTGACCCGTTTTTATATTTAGTCTAATTCCATGTATCATCAGGATTTTTATCTTTTAGTCTAATAAACCAATCTATTTTCTTCATAGTATCCATTACAATTAGTAACAATTTAAAACACAGCAAGAAGCCTCAGTTCTCCAAGGTTAAGCTTGTTGTATTCATTGTGTTTACACAACACTCCCATAAGAGGTGTCAAATGTTGGGTCATCATCGGCAACTTGTGTATTTTGAATAAGCTAGAATACTTTGCAATGCACAAAGATATTCTATCTCAATTGAGTACCAAATATAAATTTCAATCACATGTTCTATGACTTCAGAATAATACCGTCAAAATATTCAATTGAGACATGATGCTATTGATGATGATCACTCGATTTGCCTGTTTCAGAATACAGCCAAAATCAAAATTGGGTAGGTAGTTTGTCATACACCCCCCCCCCCCCCCCCCCCCCCCCCAATCCTTTTACATGTGTATATGGGGAACAAATGGCATTTTTACTAGTGTGTCTAAAGTAGTGAAGGGTAATTGGTTTAAAATCATAATTGATAATCGGTTTGTAATCGGAAGTAGTGAACGATTTCATAAACAGTTAATAATTTTATTGGACTGAATTCCCAAATAAAGTGAGAACAAAACTATTACATCAATAGACAGAGCAATTCACTATACATGAAGTTTTGTTCTTTTATAATGAATGCATATCAAGTAACATTTATGCATGTTTATCAATCATATAGTATCAATCATAAGAACATAGAGGACATTTAAATAGTGATGAACCGAATATATCGATTATGGAATTTGTAATCGATAATCGGAATTGGAAAGGGCAAACGGTTCAATTTTCGATTATAATCAATCATCAGCCCATCACTAGTCAAAAAGTATACAAAATATTTCAAGGGAAAGCAACAAGATTTAGGGTAGGTCAAGTAATTCAACCTGATTCTATATATAAAGTCTAATTCTATGTAGCATCTGTACTTGAATTTCTTTAGCCAAATAACCAATCTATTTTCTCCATAGTAGTCAATAACAATTAATATCAATTTAAAATACATCAAGATGCCTCAGTTCTCCAAGGTTAAGCTTGTTGTATTCATTGTGTTTACACAACACTCCCATAAGAGGTGTCAAATGTTGGGTCATCATCGGCAAATTATGTATGTTGAATAAGCTAGAATATTTTTCAATGCACAAACATATTCTATCTCAGTGGATCAAGTACCATTTACATTTTAATCAAACCTTCTGTGACTTCAGAATAATAAAACCTTCAAAATCCTCAATTGAGACATGTTGCTATCGATGAGGATCACTCAATTTGCCTGTTTCAGGTTACAGCTAAAATCATAATTGGGTAGGTAGTTGGTCATCTTCTCCCCCCCCAAAATCTATTACATTACCTGTTCATTGGGAACAAATGACATTTTTGCTAGTGTATTTAAAGTAGGCAAAACATTTCCAGGGAAAGCTTCAAACCAAATCTATATTTAGTCTAATTCTATGTATCATCAACACTAACATTTCTTAAGCCTAATAACCAATCTATTTTCTCCATAGTACCCATTACAATTAATAATAATTTAAAACACAAAGATGCCTCAGTTCTCCAAGGTTAAATTGGGTAGGCAGTTTAACATGAGTATATGGACAGCTAATACTGTTTTTGCTAGTGTGTCTAAAGTAAGCAAAACATTTTCAGGGAAAGCAACAAGATTTAGGGTAGGTCAAGTAACTTGACCCGATTCTATATATATAGTCTAATTCTATGTACCATCTGTACTTAAATTTCGTTAGCCTTATAACCAATCTATTTTCTTCAAAGTATCCATTAAAATTAATAAATTTAAAACACTTCAATCAGCCTCAGTTCTCCAAGGTTAAGATTGTTGTATTCATTGTGTTTACACAACACTCCCATAAGAGGTGTCAAATGTTGGGTCATCATCGGCAAACTATGTATGTTGAATAAGCTAGAGTTATTGCAATGCACAAAGATATTCTATCTCAGTTGAGAACCAAATATATATTTCGATCACATGCTCTACAACTTCAGATTAATAAAACTGTCAAAATCCTCAATTGAGAATTGTAACTATCGATGAAGATCACTCAATAATCATAGGTAGGTAGTTGGCAATCTTTTTAGCCAAAACTGTTTACATGCTTATATGGGGAACTGCCATCTTTGCTGATGTGGCTTAAAGTCGGCATAAAATTTCCAGGGAAAGCAACAAAAGTTAGGTAATTCGTCCCAATTTATATATTTAGTCTAATTCTATGGATCATCAGGATATAATTTTCTTTAGTCTAATAAACCAATCTTTTTTCTTCATAGTATCCATTACAATTAATAATATTTAAAACACAAGATGCCTCAGTTCTCCAAGGTTAAGCTTGTTGTATTCATTGTTTACACAACACTCCCATAAGAGGTGTCAAATGTTGGGTCATCATCGGCAAATTATGTATGTTGAATAAGCTAGAATACTTTGCAATGCACAAACATATTCTATCTCAGTTGAGTTCAATTCATATTTCAATAATACCTTCTATGACTTCAGAATGATAAAACTGTCAAAATATTCAATCAAGACTTATTGCTATCGACAAGTATCACTCAATTATCATAATTGGGTATGTAGTTGACAATCTTTCCCCAATAAAACCTTTTACATGCATATATTGGGGGGGGGAGGGGGAAACAAATGCTATCTTCGCTTGTGTCTAAAAGTTTCCAGGGAATGCAACAAAAGTAATTTGTTCCCAATTCTATATATTTTGTCTAATTCTATGGATAATCAGCACTTAAATTTCATTAGCCTATAACCAATCTATTTTCTTAATAGTACCCATTACAATTAATAACAATTTAAAATACATCAAGATGCCTCAGTTCTCCAAGGTTAAGCTTGTTGTATTCATTGTGTTTACACAACACTCCCATAAGAGGTGTCAAATGTTGGGTCATCATCGGCAAATTATGTATGTTGAATAAGCTAGAATACTTTGCAATGCACAAACATATTCTATCTCAGTTGAGTTCAATTCATATTTCAATAATACCTTCTATGACTTCAGAATGATAAAACCGTCAAAATATTCAATCAAGACTTATTGCTATCGACAAGTATCACTCAATTATCATAATTGGGTATGTAGTTGGCAATCTTTCCCCAATAAAACCTTTTACATGCATATATTGGGGGGGGGAGGGGGAAACAAATGCTATCTTCGCTTGTGTCTAAAAGTTTCCAGGGAATGCAACAAAAGTAATTTGTTCCCAATTCTATATATTTTGTCTAATTCTATGGATAATCAGCACTTAAATTTCATTAGCCTATAACCAATCTATTTTCTTAATAGTACCCATTACAATTAATAACAATTTAAAATACATCAAGATGCCTCAGTTCTCCAAGGTTAAGCTTGTTGTATTCATCGTGTTTACACAACACTCCCATAAGAGGTGTCAAAAGTTGGGTCATCATCGGCAACGTATGATATTACTGTCTCAGTTAAATAACAAATCTTTGTTTTTGTTACATTGTCTATGAAATCAAAGTTTTGAACAACACTTGAGCACTTTAATACTAGAGATTTCTACTTTTGACAATACCTCCATTTAAAAGAATTTTGGTCCTATTATAAAGATTTTAGATATATACAAAGACAAGCTAAATCATGCATGTTTATTGTTACACACACAATATAACCTATGTCATTAGGAATCTTATGGATCAACAGTAATTTTTAGGCTAGGCAGGGTAATCTCAAGAAATTTATTTTTTAATTTGGCCTTATCTTACATCTGCATTTAAACAAAAGCTTTATGACCAATCTAGTACTACAATTGTAATGCTACCAAATCATTTAGTGATTCAAATCCTACACTTTATACTAATGAAAGACCCAGGACAAAACATGTATTCAAACTCATGGCCAAAAAAAAACCTGCCATATTTTTTTTTCTTCTAGTAAATTTGAGTACATGTAGTAAATCATCTATAAAGACTGCTTCAGTTCTCCGAAGTTAAGCTTGTTGTATTCATTGTGTTTACACAACACTCCCATAAGAGGTGTCAAATGTTGGGTCATCATCGGCAGTCACATGTCATAGATTATAGTTACTGTATTAGTTCTTATAATAGCCTATGCTCTAATAATTACCCATCCTCTCCACCTTGAAGGCAAAATACCTAAAAAGTTTAATAATTTCCCCATATTTCAATTTCGAAGATATCCCAATAATAGTCATTTTTTTCAATCAGATGCTTGTCCTATTTGTTTCAATAGATTTATGGTAAGATTATGTCAGTAAAGCTACTACTGGTCTTCACAGCTGAAATCTTAATTCTCCGTTATTGCCGAGACTTGTTGCACTTCGGGTTTATCCCCATATTTCAATTTCGAAAATATTCCAATAATAGTAATTTTTTTCAATCAGATGCTGGTCATATTTGTTTCAATAGATTTATGGTAAGATTATGTCAGTAAAGCTACTACTGGTCTTCACAGCTGAAATCTTAATTCTCCGTTATTGCCGAGACTTGTTGCACTTCAGGTTTACATCTTGCCCTACCAGAGTCTATTTAAAAAAGGGTCCTTGTCAATTTTGAGTAAAAAGCAAAACGGTAATATTGAAGTAAATTCTAATATTTGAACAAATTCCAGAAAATGGTGGTGGTGGTGGGATGGGGTGGGGGGAGAGAAATCTTAAAACCCAGCTCTACCATCTACACACCTGGAGGGAGGGACTGCCGGAGTTTCTCTGCCTTGTCTTTGTCATTGATGACCAGTGTGTACAGGTAACGACTGCATCGCACCTTAAATTTGACATTTTCCTTGTTCTTCTTGATTTTAACAGCTGCAATAGAAAAATTGCATGAAAAATTAAATGGGTGATGTAATGTCCCAAATCAAAACAACAAATATGATTCAACAGTTAAGAAAGCTTTGCCTGCTTCGGTACTCCAAGGTTAAGTTTGTATTTATTGTATTCACATAACAAATGGTTTCAAATGTTGAGTCCTCATTATGATCACCAACAATTTCCAAAGTATTTTTTTTCAGAATTTTATGATTGTAGCCCAAGTTTCCTCTGGCCCTGACACAACATACTTGACAGATAGATCTCAGGTGTGGGGCCACTGACTAATCAACAAACCGACTTGATCTGAACCTAACTAAATAGTTAATTCTGATTCAGAAGAGTTACAAGTGGACCACCTCTTTTTGTCGGTTAGTCAATATTGTGTAATTTGCATAACCTACAAAATGGAGTGTCACTCAGGTGGGAATTTTTGAATGATTGTGTGGAGGACTCTACTGACGGAATGTAGCAGCTGTTGGTAACTGGTAACAAAAAGGGTGGTTTGGGATCAATAAATGATCCATTTATCATGTATGTGAGGAATGTGTTGCGTCATTGAAGATTTATTCCAGGTTTTTGTTTCGTAGTGCACTCTGGCCCCACACCAGACATTTATCTGTCAAAATGTAGATAAAGTCTGAGTTGTGGCCAGAGGAAACCTGGGCTAGAATGTCCCCTGTGTACACGTGTGCCTAAATGTACAGTACATATATTTGAGAATAAGATTGATCTTTGATCATGACATTGTCCAACTGGCCCTTACAAGTTCATCATGCTTTTTTGCACAAAATTGAAAGCAAATTTAAGGTCTTTCTTGCAGGTCCATGCTTCCAGAAAAAAAAAAGAATGAAGATCTACTGTTTTTAGTGTACTGATAAATTTTAATTAATCACAACAGATTTAAAATAACATATTGACTACCTCACAAAAAACCTATCTTCATATTTGGTAATAGCAATATGATAATTTAATACCAAATCTTTGAAATTCCATAGTTTTCCCTGCAGTTTCTGTTATCAAGCAATTTTCAAGCTAGTACAGAGCCAATACAACGATACAAATTCAAAATTCCATAAAATATCATCAACCATGCCAGTTATGTTTTTTGCTCGGTTTTACTGTGGAATACAGGCCCCTAGCTAAGAAGTGCCTTATTTTCCCAAAATGACCAAACTGAGGAATATATTACCGAACTCAATACAAATGATGCTTAATTTTCCCAATTCATAAAGGAACAAGCTGTAGAAAAATCTAGGTAACAAAAACACCGCATTCAGAAAATGGTTCTAATGCCAACCTCTAGTTCCATAGCTAATCTGGTATTAAATGACTATTTTAGAAAGAAATGACCAACCTTTAAATACCATAAAAGGAAAGGTGAGCGATCTAAACTGAGAACATGTATTACACATTTATTAACCTTTACACTGTAAATTTAGAGAATGGCACTTTTATTACAGTGTTAGTATGAACAATCATTTGTTTTTCAGGTTGAACTTTTATAAAAATTAAGTCTTATTTCCAACTAAACTTACATTTAGCATCCTTCCTTCTTGCTGTCAGAAGGAAGTCCTTGATCTCCATTATTTGCTTGGGCTGAAGGGAAAAAAACACAAGCTTAGATAATTCTGTAAAAAAAATGCATCATTCTTGAATTAAAACCCTTTGGCTGAAATAATGAATGTATCTTATAAGACACCTACAGTTTAAGAATGCATATGATTCATCATCAAAAGCTTAATATAGACAAATAAGTAAATTATTTTTCTTGTTTTATTTATTATTTTGAATGACCCCCAACTTCCTTATCAGTATTACAGATCTAACAAGAGGCCCAGAGGGCATGTATCGCTCACCTGGATATCTAAGCAATCATGGTAAAATATTCTCCAAATGAGATCCAAGGGAATAGGCCAGACCCCAAGGCCAATCCTTGTAGCATATCTGTATTGGATTTGTCATGCCCAGCAATATTATATATGGTTATGGGGTAGCTCAACTGTTTCCAAGCTGTGACTCGGAAACTAGGTCCCAAGGGGTTCGGTCAGACCCCAGGGTCTATTCTTATCTCATGACTGCATTCGTTCTTTATGCCCAGCATTTGTATATAGTTTTGGGGTGGGGATCTCAACCATTTCAAAGTTATGGCCCAGGGACTATGTCTCAAAGGGTGGGGCCAGACCCTATAGCCATCCTGGAAGCAAATGTGCATTCTTCTCCTTATACTCAGTAATTGAATATATGGTTATACGGTGGGGATCTCAACCATTTCCAAGTAATAAACTTTCTTTGGCGCCCACCCCTCAGCCCCCTGGGGGGGTCAGCCACACCATTTGTACAATTTTGAATCCTGACCACCAAGGGATGCTTCCAATTAAATATGGTTGATATCCATCTCTTGGTTCCAGAGAAGAAGTTGCTTACAGCAATATAGCCAAATAACCCCTTTTGGCCCACCCCTCAGCCCCCTGGAGGGTCAGCCACACCATTTGTACACTTTTGAATCCCTGCCACCCATTATGATTGATATCCATGGCATAGTTCTACAGAAGAAGTTGTTTGTAGCAATATAGCCAATTGCCCCCGCCCCACCATTTATACAATTTTGAATCCCCACCACCTAGGGATGCTTCCAGTCAAATTTAATTAAATTCCAATCAGTGGTTAAGAAGAAGTCATTTGAAGAAATTGTAGATGTATGGACGGCGGACACCACGGTATGGCATAAGCTTACCTTGGTCCTTCTGGTCATGACCAGGTGAGCTAAAAACTACAAATAAGACAAAGACTAATAGAACGGAAAATGTAATGTATATCAATAATAGATTACACTGGGTGTATAAATTCCACAACCAGAGATATCTTGGAACCAACCAACTTGTATGCAAGTTTGATTTTTTAACTTTTTTTCTCTGATCGGTTTGATTGAGTTATGTCAATTGTCCAAGCACCATGTGGCAACTTTTGAGCAAAACTTCATACATTCTATGTTTGACACTGTCTTATAGTTGTAGAACAATATATGTGCAACAAGAGTTTTCTTCTGATTAAGTTCAAATCTAAGGAACAGGAAGAACCACTCCACCAACGAAATTTGAGGAAAAAAAGTAATTTTCTCTCTAAGAACAAGCTGTACAAACTTGCAGTCACATTTATTTGAAGATCTCGAGCACATCAAAGAAATAGAGATAACAAATTTCGTCAAAATAGAATAGGGCTGTCTGGTGGCTATCTCTTTCTTATGCAGAATAGCTGACCAAAAGCAATCTACATATGGAATTTGAAAAAGATCCGTTCATGATATCTTGAGAAATGGCTATAACAAGAATTCTTTAACTTAGTTTAAGGGCGGATGACTGACCACAGATACATGACTATCAGAACAGACCACCATCTGACCATGGTTCACTAAAAAGTCTGTTTAAAGTATTATCAGCTTTTATTCACATACAAAGGTTTAAAACTCAGATATTTACCAATGTCCTTAAACCCCATAGGACAACAGCCAGATTGTAATCTAAACCCTGAATATTCACCTGAACTGCCTGCCTGACAAAAGGTGATCAACCCAGTCTATACCTGCTATACTAATTTACATTCCTTTTCCTGGCCTTTTCACTGTTGGCATCACTACTTACCCAAGTGGGTTTGGACACATGAAATTATGTGCAATAGGATGGACAAAAATGTAATTGGCATGTTTCAACTTCCAAAACCTCTTATCTATAAGCAGATGCTTTGCCAAAATAAGCCATTTGGTTACTGCCATTAGGACAGTTAAAATGCAATAAGGTAATATGTAACTATTTGTTGACATTAAAACTTAGGCTGAATTTCCCAGTATTTATTGCAAACTGATCTATAATTCCTGGTCTCACCAAAGCAGCAACATTGTAAGCAACACATTGTTTTCTCACCATCTTGACAACTGATGCCTGGAGTAACCAAAGCTGTGAAAAAAAGAAAAAGTTAATTAAAATACTATAACAATGGGACAACTTTATGTTGATGAAAAATTGAGAAAATGTATATTTGTTTTATGATTTGTTTTCATTGCTAGACGTAGATATATTTCATGGTCCGTCAAATATCTTCAATGTGTTCCTTTTTATACTCAGTGATAGATTACACCAGTATTAGTCTAGATTGTAGTTCAGGGTCTTGTTTCTGTGAAGTTTGTTGACATCACTTTGTGTCAGCAAAGTCTTACTAAGTACACGAGGCAAAAACAAGTCAATTTACATTATTTTGCTGTCATTCAAAATATAAAATTTGGACCATAGCAATGTGACATTATCAACAATGTGCTTTAGCCTCAACACCTTAAAGCAGACGAGCACAGAAACTTGGCAGGTAATTGTGTCATTCAATTATCTGGATAGTCAGTTTGCAGTCACTTCTTCAACAGTGATAACCCATCTACATTATTGAACGACAGAGGTAAAATTTAAGATTAAACATTGTTGATACACAAATTGAACAACTATTTTTTTTATTTTGCCCTTATTCGTCAATTTCCCCTTAATTGGTCAGAAACTTGCACTGCATGCTAGTTTTATGCATAAAAATGGTTCGAAATTTCGAGATAAATAATCTAACTAGAAATAACCGGAAAGGTACATAAACTGCTGTAAAATGTAGATGTCTATAAGTTAAGAGCGTTATTCTTTCAACTAAATCCAATAAATATCACAACTAAGTACACTTGTGCAAAAAGATAATCAATTCTGATGTTAATCTTTTTTTGTGAAAAGGACAAACCATATCACCGACTTGGCTCTCTCCATTGACTTCAGTGTGTAGTCAATGGGACCATCCAGTGCAAATGAGACCGGCAACACGATTTTTTTCTGTGTGCTGTTATAGCTACTCTACAACACACTATAAGCAATGGATGTGATACAATTCATTTTCACACAAAAATAGAAAACTGGATTAACATATTTTTGTGCACAATTGTACCTTATTGTATTGGTTATTTAACTATGTTGAAAGAATAACGATATGGGCCGTTGCGTCAAACCTGTTCAGTATATCTATTTTATGTCCACAGGGACCAGTCATCATGTCGTGCAAGTTTTGTCAAATAACAGGAACTAGCCTCCCCTTGCCAACGCATCTTTTTAGCCTAATGGCTCTGCTCAAACGAAAAATATTAACTTCTTCGCATTGTTCTTTATCGTGTGTCTTTATCGTGTGTCTTTTTCTTTATGTCTGCACAACACGTTAACCACGATGGTAAGTAACCGTCATAAGAATATTCGAGAGATGTGTTTACATTCGCTTACGTTGAGTAAATTGACTCTTATCCGTTTAGAATATGAACCAATATTGGTTCAAAACATTAACATTATATTTAGCATTAAATAACTCGTTTTGTACGCTTTATTTCTATTACATACAAAAGGATGGAGACTGATTTTTAGGGCAATTGTATCTCACCCTGCTTTTCAATGGTGGCTATGGCGGAAAAGGAAACGGCAAGGGGAGGTAAATCTATTTGACACCTTCTATGACCTCCAAGAGTTATTTGCTCTTTGGTAATATGAAATAGAGTTTACCTAATCAGTGGGTACTCATACTAAAGTTCTGTTTGACATTGACATTTGTTGTACTTTACAAAATGTATTTAAAAATTATAAGTATAGTGCAGTGGAGTAATCAACACTGAACAATGCAAAATACTGGACCCCTATTTTTTAATTCTTTTAAGCTGGTACGATCACGAACTTAGATAATAGTCTAATTCCGCGGTACGGTGATGCAAAACTAACGGATACTTTTGTATCAGCTGCGCGGAATACTGAAAATTAATCTAAGGCCGTCTTAGCTGTAAGTCAGTCATTTCATATTTAAGAAACCATCAAAGTTATTCTTATTAATAAAGTTTCAAGTGATCCTGACCTTTTCGAACAGGACACCTTTTTATTTGAACTGGATATATAACAGTTATAGCCATTGTAATAACATCTGGTAATAGTATCACGAAGTAATGGCCCTGATTTAGTGGAGTGAGTGGATACAGAGCATGACTTAGTTTCATGCAATGCGACATGCATTCCATGATCTTTTATTGCAATCATTCATTTAACATGTATGTTGATTATTTCTTCTTTAACATCAATTACTCACAAATTTTTCATCTATTTCTTCGATACAACTGCTCAAGCTATCAATAATAGGTATGGCTTTAACTTTCCGGTACCAACCGATACCTTTGTTAAAATGGATAAAACGCGTGTCATGTCTCTTTTCCTATAGGTTGTCAGAGACTATCATGCATATATGAGTATGAGAGATATGGTTATGCTACCCAAGGGTAGAACTTCCATATCCCACATACCTTCAAATGATAGACTCTTTTATTCTACCTCTTTAACTCTGACAGATGCAATGCTTAATAAAGAAAAATGTCTAGATAGCGTATGAGCAGAAAAAAAGTAAGATATATCAAATGCACCCAATAATTCAAATTCTAAAGTGGTCACACTTGCACGGCATGAATGGTCATTGATTGCAGTCAGTCAAAAGACGTTTTGACAGGCTTTCGATTATAATACAAAGCCTTTATCTGATTGAGACGTAATAATGGTAGAGGTCACTGAGTGCAGCTGTGTGGGATTTATATATTATCTTTAAGACTTACCCTGGACAGGTGTATCCAGCCTTTTTTCGATGCGAGGTATCCTTCCCCCTCATTTGACAGATAACCTTAGTTTAGGTACAAATATAGCTATAACGAATTCTCAGGTCCCTGTGATACAGATACTATTTAAATGAAACCGTGTTTTTGCATACTTCGTTAATCAAGTATTGGAAATTTTATAGTTTGTATCATTGCTTATTTTACAATTAATCTCTGATGAGCCCCTAAAATCGAGTCAAACGATACAGCACCCCACCCCTTTCTTTACAATATGGAGATATACGATTGAAATTAACAAAAAACGCACTGGTACAATAACGTATTATCAAAATGAGCAGCAACCCGTGTATTTTACCCCCAATTGTAAAAACTTGAAACATTATTGAATAAGTAAATGTTTGTTCTCGATCTTGCCTATTCCTTCCATGGTGGCTTCTACAGTTGTTTAACATTCACGGCGAGTTACGATTATGCTAATAAGTAGTAGAAGGACAGGTGAAAATCGAACATTTTACACGTCCGTATCTCGGGATTGGGCTTACCATTTTTATGGGGTTTTCGACTTTTTTGTTTTCGGATCATGTAGGATAATAGTATATTCATTTCTATTTTCGTTCATGGTACACTTTAAACGACAAGGTAACTCATTTGCGTGCACGTTGACGTTGCTTTACCACTAACATCGCAACGTCGAGTACGACATATGCAAATTGATACGGCTATTATAGGTCCATGCAGCTACAAAGCTCAGTTGGCTGGTCTGTATGTAACCTCATTGAATCTTTCTTTAAAATAATACACAAACTTTGAATAAAACATTTTAATGTTAAGTTTAATATCAAAATCAGATAATCAAGAAATAGTTTAGCACCATTAAGCATATATATTTCATTCTATTTAATTTCAAAGATTTTTTCCCCTTCAAAAACATAAGGAAGTACTTCAGCTCTTAAAGAAGCCATTTATGGTTGATATGGATCAAATATAGCAAACGTAACATAAGAGAGTGTGTTGTATAAAAAGTTAGGTAAATCTCACGTATGTCAGTACAGCTGAAATGCAGCACTTATGAAACAGTATATACTTGACTTTCTATTGTTTCATAAAACAACACCTGCCTATTGAACACCCCCAGCACGTATGTCCATGGTTTGAAGACATCTTTGGTGATTGTCAACCAGGCCATATACGCTTCCGGGAAAAGTTACTTTAGGTCCCGTAATCTATGACCTTGCAGCAAGTTGTCGCGAGATCAAAAGTCTGTACATAGGAACTTTCTTGTAAGACAGAACACTGTTCATAAATTGGCCACCATACAGCCCCAATTTGTCCCCAATCGAGCAGTTATGGGATAACTAGACAGACGAGTTCTTGTCCAAGAATGGAATAATATTCCAATGCTGAAATGAAATGATGTAAGGAATTATTTATATAATATTCAGTTTGCTGTACAAGTTTGGCCTTATCATGTGGTATCATCCACGTAGGGTTATGTGACAGACCCCTCGTCACCTCTGTCACATGATATTTTATTCATTTTTCAGCAGTAATCATGTGACTATTGGCGAAGTGCCAATATTCAACTTTACGCGCTTTAACCAATCAAAAGGAAGGCTACAAAATCTGGGTCTAGGCCCACGTGAGTCATGTGACGGAAAACCTGTAATGGCGGACGATGGCACTGCTACAGAAGATATTACCTAGTAAAAGAAACAGATGTAGTGCCTTTGAACGATGGACTTCGTCAGACACGAACACAGAGTAAGTTCATATATATTAAGTTAAAGTAATTCGGTTAATATTATCGAATTGAATTCAAAATTAGCAAAGAAATTGCCCAACAAGTGCTGTTGTTTTGGTTTTGTGACCTGACGACGTTTTCGGATTTCATTTATTTTATTGTAACATGTTTTATGTCGTGTTCTAAATGTTCATGTCTTGTCGATAAGATTGGATTTTGTTAAAATAACTAATTTAAACAAGTTCTGATTTCACAGATTAGTGTTAATCTTTATTGGGTCAGAAGAAACTTTATTGATGATATAATAGACAGGTGATCAACATGTGACTATGACAAGCAAGGTTCGAGAAAATGTAAACAACGCGTCACACGTGTAGTAACGGATGTTATAAAAGTTTCAAATGAATTAAAGGTAATTGTCTTTTAACTAGAAGTATTATGAATAGGGTGAAGGAAAGACATGTTTTGGTTCTTTGTTGGGTTATAAACCAGAGAAAGTCAATGTCTGTCATATTTCAGGATAATATATTTATTATCACATTTTCACCAAAAAAAAATATAAAAAATATTAACTTACACTTGTTTACCAATTAAGCAAGATGGAACATAAGAAAGAAGTAATCAAAAGTGCTGAATTAACTTCTGCTTCTACTGCCGATTAAGTGTCCTAATTCGTCGTACCGAATATTATGACACTGCCATAGGTGAATATTGGGAAAGTTTCTAGTTAACAGATATACCCTGTATTTCCCAAGCAATTTCTTGTGTTTGATCATGAATGCATGCACGCTGGTTTTTTGACATCGAGACACTGCAAATGATGAAACTGGTCTGCCATATATATATATCCAATACCTGTTTTGATAACAGCAGCAGGAGCCCCAATAACAAAGAGCTATACAGACCAAAATACCTTGGCAAAATGAAGTCATCATTACTGTTGCCTACATTTTTCATCCATTACTGTGGTCTTGGAGGTTTTGATACCTTTTGACACCATTTCTTGGGAATGGATAAACTAGATAAGATGTGTTGCTACAATTCAATTGACATGAAAAAGAATGTTGAACTTGACCTGTTGTTTCTGAAAACAGTAACATAAAATCAATATCTGAAAAACACTTGCTAACTTTTTGTTCCATGGGGTAGATTCTGCATGCTCAAAATTAAAACATACATAAAATGTGTGTATATACCCCTAGAAACAAAACAACCCTTTAAAATGACATATTTTGAGTTGTTCTTTCAGGTGAAATCATTACATCTTAAAAATAAATTAGCAAACTCACTGGTTGAAAATAACATTTTTTTTCCAGCAATGCATTTAAACCAACAGATATGCTCTTTAGTTCAGCAGCATAGATCATCATGGTCAGTGGTTGGATGGATGCATGTTAACATGTTACATAGCTATGTTAATCTGGGGTACCTTGTAAGGCCCGTTCGGTTCCTGGTGTCTAGGAAAATTAAAGTACATTGGTACACAGGGAGAAGTACCCATGGCAAGCTGTTTAAGTGCTGCAGCATAATATTTAATTAGTTAAGCAACGTTGAGCATGCATGGATTTGTCGGTGTGAGCTCACATGTTAGACTTTATTTAATCCTAAGTATTAGATACTAGAGTAGTGACTATAAAGAGTAGATCAGGCTTTAATTATTGAAAGTCTGGTCACAAGTAAGTTGTTCTCCAAGCTAAGGATGTGTTGATAAAATGTTACTTTGGGATGTAAATAAAAATAAGAAACTAACTCACTACCAATAGTTTAATAGGACCGACTGTACTGTGTTACAACAACTAATAAGCATAGTGTTTGATATTATTTAGACATAAACAGTCTAACATGTAACATGTAAGTATGCAAGTATGTTTGCGAATGTGTATTTTACCTTTTGGCTGCTATATTTTCATATGCAGGTACGTCTATACTACCAATCTCCACAACAAGGGTCAACAGACGTATATCACAATCATGCATGTTTTGATTGCCAAAAAATGTAATGTTACTCAACCTAATGTCTACCCTATTCAAACAATTATGCCCCTTGCCCATTGCTTTCCTTTCCAAAACAGCAAATGATCTTCATGCAACCATATTTACTTAGATCACCTAAAATGTATTGCACAAACCTCCATTTTATCAATTATAATCTTTCCCTCCAAATTTCATTTCTACATAATTCAAGTTTTAAAACAAAATATCGAACCAATTCTTAGGGATTCTGTCATAATTTTACTCTAATTGCAGAGTTGCCACTGAAAAATGAAGAAATATTGATTTGAATGTGCAATTATTAATTGTATGTAATTTTCAATGTATGGCTTCCTCAAAAGGAAGTAATTCTTTCTTTTTACATGGTTATTGTTGACATTTTACACTGATTTATTTTTGTAGCAGTCTTTAACATTTTTAATGCTTTGAGAAATTTATGATGATTTTGCAGTGTGAATAATCTTTAAGTCATTTTCAACAGTCTCATTGAGTCATATGAGTAATTTAACTTTCTTGCTAGTCATGATTTCAATGATTTTCAAAGTCAGGATTGTCATGTATGGTAAATATGATATACCATTGAATGATAATGCATGAAATACCATATTGATGTAAGCGCAACTCTGAACCTTGCTTGAGTTCATGATCAGCTACTGCTGCACAAATACAGGCACAAAGATCCTATCCCACCAACATTGTATATTCTCTTGTGTAATTTAAAAAGACATTTTTGCTTCAATTTATATACAATTTTTTTTCTTTAATTTGTTTTTGTAATGTATTAAATTTGCTTTCATCAGTGTATATTTCCCACAGTAAAAATTAAATATCCAATTAATGTTGCAAATTTTAGTTCCATTTCATTTAGATTTTCCATTGGATTTGTTTGTATATTATCTGACCATGATATATATTATTAACTGATTTTTAGATGTAATTGTTTTTCTCATTATTTTGTTTAAAAATCAGACTTGTAACAAATTCAAGTTTGCGCTTCAGGTTTCTACATTGAAGGTCAAGTTCATTTACTGTTTTTAGAAACTTTGTCATTGCTCTAGCAACTTCATTACTTAACGGGCTTTCCCGAAACTTCATACAAATGTTTGGTAAGACAATGCCTTGAGGAGGGCTGCGTTTTGGGTTTCTATGTTAAAGGTCAAGGTTACTATTTTTAGAAAAACTGTCATTGCTCTATCGACTTCATTCCTGGTTACTGCGTTAAAGGTCAAGTTCACTTTTACCATTACCGGTATATGAAAAATCGTCGTCGCTTTATCAAGTTCATTCCTCAACAGAATAAAAATGTAATATTCATCGAAGAATGCAGTCGCTAGAGCAGATATACTGTTTACATCATTGAATTTTCTTTTCATTTCCTCATACATATGTCACATATAGGGATTTGTATCATTTGCGATGCCTTGTTTGATTATGCTTATTTTATGTAAAAATTTGTTAAATTCTGTTTAAGGTAATATTCTCATAAATATGTGGGTTTTTTTAGGTGGAAGACACCAAAATTTGACCCAGATCAGATTCGACTGGTGATTTATGCAGATAATGAAAGAGATAGAACCTTACTGTTTGACTCCAAGGCTGTCAAAAGGAATGTTGAGCCTCGGGTCAGTATTGCTGTTAAATCAAGATTTAGTGGCTTTTGATAATCAAACGATGTGATAATTAACCGTATATATATATATGTTAATGCAAGACCAAAATATCTTCCTTTTTTGTTGCTGTTATTAAAAATGCTTGGGCATGTAGGTAAACATTTATGTAGGTTTATTGACATTATTTTTTCACTGTAAAATTTAGTTCTTCTTAATTACTGCCAAAAATTAAAGATGAGAGTTAATTTGTCATTTGTGTATACCAATGAAGATTGAATTATAGCTGCAAAAATCTAGATCAGACAAATATGTGTGTTTATTTACATAAGTTTGTTTTTTTTTCATCTTTTTTCTGTATAGTTGAATTTTACAATTATGTTCATGTGTTTTTTCTTTACTTGCAGCAAAAATGCTGTCATGGCCTAAGAAGATTTGTTTCACCCAAAACGAAATTATGTGTACCGAGCGAACAGGTGTGTGGAGGACGGCAGTCATCAAAATTCCTGGTAAGGATTTCCTTTGATGACCTTGTCTTTTTAGGAACATTAAATATTCAAGCATATAGTCAATGCATCACACATCTAAAAATAAGTTCAAATTTATAAAACAGAGTTAAAATGATGATATTACTTGTTATTCATTTGAAAACTTGTTGGTTATCACCAAAGTGGGTTTAACAGAATTAAAATGAAAATCTGTATTGAATCATGCATGCCATATCAGCCCTCGAACAATATCAGATTTGAGGCTGAAGTCCTTAGGCTGATGTTTGGTCCTAGATACAGATTTAAGATTTTGCAATGGAATATTTTCTATTTAATAATCCCCTTTTTTTTTTTTTTTTTGGCAGCGTGGGTGCTAATGTTGTGCAAATTCTTTTCATTTTGTAGTTCACCAAGCCAGGATCAGATGTACAGAGTCTGGAGGAGATCATGTTTGGCAGTGTTGGAATGGCATACACTGGGTCCTCCCTCAAAGTCCATTTGACTAAGTGAGTTTTGGAATGGTGTATACATTAGTCCCCTCTCAAAGTTTACTGTTGGAATGGCATAAATAGGTCCCCACTGAAAGTAATTTTCACTAAATGAGTACTGTAATAGCATGTACAATGTCTTCAAAGTTTATTTTGTTGAGTTGGATTGACATTACAGGGTCCTTCCTCCAAGTCTATTTGACTGTAATTAGTGATGCTGAGTAAGTGATTTAATCCTCTGCCAGTGTTTGTTGGATCCATTTGACTGTAGTTAGTGATGCTGTGTAAGTGATTTAATCCTTTACCAGTGTTTGTTGGATCCATTTGACTGTAGTTAGTGATGCTGTGTAAGTGATTTAATCCTTTACCAGTGTTTGTTGGATCCATTTGACTGTAACTAGTGAGGCTGAGTAAGAGATTTAATCCTCTACCAGTGTTTGTTGGATCCATTTGACTGAAATTAGTGATGCTGAGTAAGTGATTTAATCCTTACCAGTGTTTGTTGGATCCATTTGACTGAAATTAGTGATGCTGAGTAAGTGATTTAATCCTCTGCCAGTGTTTGTTGGATCCATTTGACTGTAACTAGTGAGGCTGAGTAAGAGATTTAATCCTCTACCAGTGTTTGTTGGATCCATTTGACTGTAACTAGTGATGCTGAGTAAGTGATTTAATCCTTACCAGTGTTTGTTGGATCCATTTGACTGTAGTTAGTGATGCTGTGTAAGTGATTTAATCCTCTACCAGGGTTTGTTGGATCCATTTGACTGTAACTAGTGATGCTGAGTGATTTAATCCTCTACCAGCGTTTGTTGGATCCATTTGACTGTAATTAGCGATGCTGAGTAAGTGATTTAATCCTCTACCAGTGTTTGTCGGATCCATTTGACTGTAATTAGTGATGATGAGTAAGTGATTTTATCCTCTACCAGTGTTTGTTGGATCCATTTGACTGAAATTAGTGATGCTGAGTAAGTGATTTAATCCTTACCAGTGTTTGTTGGATCCATTTGACTGTAATTAGCGATGCTGAGTAAGTGATTTAATCCTCTACCAGTGTTTGTCGGATCCATTTGACTGTAATTAGTGATGCTATGTAAGTGATTTAATCCTCTACCAGTGTTTGCTGGATCCATTTGACTGTAACTAGTGATGCTGAGTGATTTAATCCTCTACCAGCGTTTGTTGGATCCATTTGACTGTAATTAGCGATGCTGAGTAAGTGATTTAATCCTCTACCAGTGTTTGTCGGATCCATTTGACTGTAATTAGTGATGATGAGTAAGTGATTTTATCCTCTACCAGTGTTTGTTGGATCCATTTGACTGAAATTAGTGATGCTGAGTAAGTGATTTAATCCTTACCAGTGTTTGTTGGATCCATTTGACTGAAATTAGTGATGCTGAGTAAGTGATTTAATCCTTACCAGTGTTTGTTGGATCCATTTGACTGTAATTAGTGATGCTGAGTAGGTGATTTAATCCTCTACCAGTGTTTGTTGGATCCATTTGACTGAAATTAGTGATGCTGAGTAAGTGATTTAATCCTTACCAGTGTTTGTTGGATCCATTTGACTGTAATTAGTGATGCTATGTAAGTGATTTAATCCTCTACCAGTGTTTGCTGGATCCATTTGACTGTAACTAGTGATGCTGAGTAAGTGATTTAATCCTTACCAGTGTTTGTTGGATCCATTTGACTGTAATGAGTGATGCTGTGTAAGTGATTTAATCCTCTACCAGTGTTTGTCGGATCCATTTGACTGTAATTAGTGATGCTATGTAAGTGATTTAATCCTCTACCAGTGTTTGCTGGATCCATTTGACTGTAACTAGTGATGCTGAGTAAGTGATTTAATCCTTACCAGTGTTTGTTGGATCCATTTGACTGAAATTAGTGATGCTGAGTAAGTGATTTAATCCTCTACCAGTGTTTGTTGGATCCATTTGTTTGACGTATAGTTATGACTGTCTGGCAAGTAACTCTGACATGTACAATGTTATGAAATCTTTTTCATTGTTTTATTATTATTTTGTTTATTTTTTTCAAGGTCTCCTCCTCAATTGATGCTGACAAAGGTATTTGTGCCTGAAGCACCAAAAAGAGAATCATCGGGAAGGTATGTGTCCTCAACTTAAACAGCAGAAAATATATGAAATGCTATACATTAAACCCTGACTTTGTTTTCAATTTTACTCATTGTTCAATGGGTACTGGAAGAACTGCACTGTTGGTTTCCTTATACATTAATGAAAAGGATTTTATAACTTATGTGTTTGTCAATATTAGTATTGTGTTTGTTGATGTTACTTTTGTGTCTGTTGATGTTACTATTGTGTTTGTTGATGTTACTTTTGTGTCTGTTGATGTTACTATTGTGCCTGTTGATGTTACTATTGTGTCTGTTGATGTTACTATTGTGCCTGTTGATGTTACTATTGTGTCTGTTGATGTTACTATTGTGCCTGTTGATGTTACTATTGTGTCTGTTGATGTTACTATTGTGTTTGTTGATGTTACTATTGTGTCTATTGATGTTACTATTGAGTCTGTTGATGTTACTATTGAGTCTGTTGATGTTACTATTGTGTCTGTTGATGTTACTATTGTGTTGGTTGATGTTACTATTGTGTCTATTGATGTTACTGTTGAGTCTGTTGATGTTACTATTGAGTCTGTTGATGTTACTTTTGTGTCTGTTGATGTTACTATTGTGCCTGTTGATGTTTCTATTGTGACTGTTGATGTTACTATTGTGCCTGTTGATGTTACTATTGCGACTGTTGATGTTACTATTGTGTCTGTTGATGTTACTTTTGTGACTTTGATGTTACTATTGTGTCTGTTGATGTTACTATTCTGTCTGTTGATGTTACTATTGTGTCTGTTGATGTTTCTATTGTGTCTGTTGATGTTACTATTGTGTCTGTTGATGTTCCTTTTGTGCCTTTGATGTTACTATTGTGTCTGTTGATGTTTCTATTGTGTCTGTTGATGTTACTATTGTGTCTGTTTATGTTACTATTGTGTCTGTTGATGTTACAATTGTGTTTGTTTATGTTTCTATTGTGTCTGTTGATGTTACTATTGTGTCTGTTTATGTTACTATTGTGTCTGTTGATGTTACAATTGTGTTTGTTGATGTTTCTATTGTGTCTGTTGATGTTACGTGACTGTTGATGTTACTATTGTGACTGTTGATGTTACTATTGTGACTGTTGATGTTACTATGGTGCCTGTTGATGTTACTATTGTGCCTGTTGATGTCGCTTTTGTGCCTGTGGATGTTACTATTGTGTCTGTTGATGTTACTATTCTGTCTGTTGATGTTACTATTGTGTCTGTTGATGTTTCTTTTGTGCCTTTGATGTTACTATTGTGTCTGTTGATGTTTCTATTGTGTCTGTTGATGTTACGTGACTGTTGATGTTACTATTGTGACTGTTGATGTTACTATTGTGCCTGTTGATGTTACTATTGTGCCTGTTGATGTTACTATTGTGTCTGTTGTTGTTACTTTTGTGTTTGTTGATGTTACTATTGTGTCTGTTGATGTTACAATTGTGTTTGTTGATGTTTCTATTGTGTCTGTGGATGTTACTATTGTGTTTGTTGGTGTTACTATTGTGTCTGTTGATGTTACTATTGTCTCTGTTGATGTTACTATTGTGTCTGTTGATGTTACTTTTGTGTTTGTTGCTGTTACTATTGTGTCTGTTGATGTTACTATTGTGGCTGTTGATGTTACTATTGTGTCTGTTGATGTTACAATTGTGTTTGTTGATGTTTCTATTGTGTCTGTGGATGTTACTATTGTGTTTGTTGATGTTACTATTGTTTCTATTGATGTTACTATTGAGTCTGTTGATGTTACTATTGAGTCTGTTGATGTTACTTTTGTGTCTGTTGATGTTACTATTGTGTTTGTTGGTGTTAATATTGTGTCTGTTGATGTTACTATTGTGTCTGTTTATGTTACTATTGTGTCTGTTGATGTTACTATTGGGTCTGTTGATGTTACTATTGTGTCTGTTGATGTTCCTATTGTGTCTGTTGATGTTACTATTGTGTCTGGTGATGTTACTATTGTGTTTGTTGATGTTACTATTGTTTCTATTGATGTTACTATTGAGTCTGTTGATGTTACTATTGTGTCTGTTGATGTTACTATTGTGTCTGTTGATGTTACAATTGTGTTTGTTGATGTTTCTATTGTGTCTGTTGATGTTACTATTGTGTTTGTTGGTGTTACTATTGTGTCTGTTGATGTTACTATTGTGTCTGTTGATGTTACTATTGTGTCTGTTGATGTTACTATTGTGCCTGTTGATGTTACTATTGTGCCTGTTGATGTCACTTTTGTGCCTGTGGATGTTACTATTGTGTCTGTTGATGTTACTATTGTGTCTGTTGATGTTACTATTGTGCCTGTTGATGTTATTATTGTGCCTGTTGATGTTACTATTGTGTGTTGTCATGAGCTGGATTCTGCCTCCCTGAGTTTTCATTCTATGTAAACAATTTATTTATATATATGTTATTGTATTTGCAGTGAACTGGATTCTGACTCCCTCAGCCTTCAAAGTCACTCAGATCCCTCTGAACCTAAACCTATATCTTGTGCTGATAGAAATGGAGGCTATTTGGGTAAGATATAGATATCATACCTGTTTTTATTATACAAGTTCTCTGTAAATGTATATATGGTTTGAGATTCAGGATAAGAGTCGGTAAAACAAATTATGAGTTCCCTATCTGTATGTTTTCCCTCACACTTACGTTTCTGGGGATTGTCTCAAAATGTGCAAATCTGAAATTTCTTAAATTTTACTTGACACTGCACTGCGATATGTTAATCTGCAATAGGAGGTAAACAAGTTCTTTAGGCCATGGTCAATGTCACTGTTAAAATAAGAATATTGAGAGATATTATATTAAAAATTTATGTTATTGCCCTTTCTGACCTGCTATTATTCATTTTAGTGGAAAATGGTATTAGATGAATTCTGCGATATTGCTAGGATCCAGATATTAGGAATGCCTGTCTGTCAAGGTCACTATCTGTCTCTTCTGATTGGCCGAGATATCTACAGCTATAACTTTGTTGGTATTGTTTTGTTTACACTTAACGGTAATTGGTACATTATCATGTTGGATAAGGACATCTCTAGTTCCTATAATCCACCACCATGGCTTTTGATCAGCAGAGACCTTTGGGCAATACATTTTGTTCTGTTGGTCTGGCTTTGTTCATACTAGGTGTTAGACAGTCGGGGTCAGGTGGGGGGCGGAGGGGGGAATGGTTGTTGACCAGTCAGTCAAGATCCTAGTTTGATCAACATTTTAGACTTACATCTATTTTTATGCCCCCGCCATAAAATGGGGGGGCATATAGTGTTGCCCATGACCGTTCCGTCCCGTCCTGTGGCGTCGCGTCTCGTCCCATCCATGAGCAGGGGGGGACAGACATTTTCTAGTTTTAACTTGATATATATTATGTTTGTACTTGCAGCGGAAAGTGTTCCGATGGATGTGCCCCTGCCATCTCACTCTAAACGAGCAAGCTTTGATATCATTGACGAAGACAGTGGTTTGGCATCACGTAAGTTTTCTTCAAATGGCTTCAGAAGTTAGTAGAATATGAAACACACAGTGTTACAAACCTGCAGTATAATCATATACCTGTGTAACAAATACAAAGATCATATCAAATAAGGAACTGATCACAATTCAAAAAGGGACAAATGAATTACAAGAGGATTTCCTCTTTTGGTGTTTCAGTAACCTCCAGTGGTAGTTTTCATACCCCATTCCCATCGCCTGGAAGTAATGCTAGTAGTTACAGCAGCAGCTACAACAGCCTGCACCGACGTTGGATGAGGGTTCAGTATACGTCCCTAGAGAGTGGACTGAAGAAACGAAACTCACAGGACAATTTGGTAGCACATGAGGTAAGCCAAGACAGCAGCTTACCGATAATTTACTCTGCATATAACATTTCATTACATTTCCGCAAACGAAAAATTTCAGTGCCTTGGTTTACATTGGAAAGATATTAACCTTGTCCAAAATGAAATATAGTTACAAGTGTAATATATTTAATAAGATCTGAGAAACATGCTAATTTGATGTATGATTCTGAATTCTGACTTTGTTTTCAGCAGAGTTTTTCATCATGCACAACATCTTCAACAACTAACAAGAAGCAGTCAAAAATTGCCTTGGGTATCTTGTTTGGACTAGAAGAAGACAAGGATTGTTCCGGAGTCAACAGGTAATACAAGTGAACACTGACCATGATAAACGTCCTTCAATTCAATGTTGGTTATACTGCTGATGAGAATTATCAACGTTCAGTTTAATGTTCTTGGAATGTTCTTGAAATGCTTATGCACGTTGGCTGGAATATCATAAATCTTGATTAAATTTGAAAATAGAAGCTGTCCTTAATATATTTCTTTAATTAAAACCCAATAGTAAAAACATTTCTGCTTTGTGTATGTTGTTTCTCATGTATGCAGTTGTGTGTCGTATACAAGAAACTGATTTGTTCTTGAATAAACGCAGCTGTTTGATGTCCATAAATTTAGCCAATTTATTTGTGATATTGTATACAAGAAATTGACTAATTGACAAATTATAGCTGCTATATGTCCTTAACTTTTGCCAATTTGTAGGTGTTTTGAGAATTTCTTCTTCTCCCACATTACGCTATTCGAGGGCCACCTGGACAAACTGAAAGCTGGTGTGAGCCACGCCTACTACAATAGGAAGCAGTTTGTACACATTGTCATGGAGGTGAGCTGGCATAGCATATTTTACTGCTCGGATCACCTAATGTAGAAAAGGACCGATTCAAAATGTTAATATTTGATTACTTGATTCAAATGTACACCTTTGCTTCAGAAATCATGAAAATAACCTCATATAAAAATGTGCTGTAAAACTTTGTAATACTGCCCTCAGTTTGTACAACACTGAAAGAGCTGGTAAGGAAAAAACGAAAAGTAACCTTGAAGTATGTTTGTGACAAAGTAAGGTGATGAAGTATGTTTGTGACAAAGTAAGGTGATGAATAAAAGAGGGGCATTATAATATGGTTGGACGGTATGCAGTTTACCTATCTAATATATGAAATACATCAGTTAGGAATTACGCATAATTATAATGTGATGAAATGAGTTATTTGACAGATTTAATTTTCATTTAAGATAGATTTTTTCAGATGTCTAGTCCATCCCTAACCATTATCAATAATGGTTTTTGATATAGTTTTGGTATTGTGTGCATGTCTATAGTTAAGTTTTGATATTTCACTTCATTTCAGGCTTTGGAAAACTTTCGTAGAGATGTTCAGGACTTGTACACAACACCACGTCTATCTGAGCCAGTGTGGCTGAACATGATGTCTCACAGTAGCTACAGATATGTCATGTGTGAAAAGTTCATGAAACAGTTTATGTTCCTCGTCTCTAAATATGATAACAAGAGCACAAATTTGTGAGTTATAGCAAAATGTATTATTGATGTATACTTTTCAGAAAAGAAATAATAAACATCATGAATTTCATTGATTAAAATCAGGTTAAGCATTAAAAAAATATTTTAAAGAAAGAAATAGAAATGGTTAACTTAATTCAAGGTCACTGAAATGTGACAAAAATAATGGAAAGTGTTTTGTTCAAGTTAAAAAAATTCTAGTTGAAAATGAAAAAAAGTTGAAAAATTACTGGTAGGTGTTAAAATTAATATGGTCACTGGAAAAATGATTTTACCAAATATATTATGTGTTACAGTTTTATGAGCACCTTGGTAACGGCAGTTCTCACTCATCACCTGGCCTGGGTTCCTACAGTTACACCAGCTGGTGGTACCTCTATCAGGACCTACCTACACAACCACACACCAAACTGGGTAGGCAACTCCTCGCCATGTTGTCAGAACTTGCTTTAGTGTATTTAAAAGTGTGTTAAAAAGAAATAATTGATGGTGTTACCATTTCATATAAGGGTCCTAAGTCCTTATTTTAGTATCATAAGATGTGTGCTAATGAGTAATAGTTTATGATGTAAAAGTTCTCTTAGCATTGCCATAAAAACATTGGCCTGTAGAAGTAATACAGCTATTCCTAAATAGGTTTAAAATTTGATTAAATTATTTTCCTAAGAAAAAAGCATTAACTTACCTTCCCCTTTTAATTATTTTGAATACAGGTGGACACATTTGCTAAAACACATCCTTACAATCCTCTGTGGGCTCAACTTGGGTAAGTGTCACATTTAGTAGTTAAAAAATTCTGTAATCATAAAAAACCTGTATACAATTTGCTTGTCTTTATGTGAACTTGAAATATAAATATTATATATAATTCAAATGAACTCTATTCTTTCTAAACTGTTAAAAATCAGTTTGCAGTGTTTGCAATAAGAAGTGTCTTTTAAAAAGAGATCAGTTGCCCTTTTATGATACAATGGTTATTGATGATTCTTTAGGAACTAAATGGTCTGTTATGTTGATTTGACACAGCCTTTACTATGAAGGTCATTGACTCTAGTTCACAATGATACATTTGGGCCTTTGTTACAGTGACCTGTATGGAGCTATTGGATTCCCTCTGAAGTTGGCAAGGACAGTGGTAGTGGGCAAAAAAGCTGATCTAGTGAAAAAAATACTGTACATTCTCACATACTTTATTCGATGTAGTGATGTTCATGAAAACGATGAGTTGGGATCATTAAAATCCTGCCTCGATGATCTGACTTTTGAGATGGAAAGTGAAAGACAGGATATAACACCCATCTTAGAAAAACAACCAGATTTCTTTTTACCTGTAAGAGAGGAAAATTCAGGAAGTAGGATTAGGCAAGGGGAGACAAACTTTGGTAAAGAAAGAGAAGAAGCAGCTTTGAGTTCGCCTAGAATAAGAGAAGGAAATCATGACAAATCATGTAGACAAAGGTCAGAATGTTCTAAGGATGGAGAAAAGAAAAAGAGTGGATCTACATCATCTTGTGATAGAGAGAAGCATCAGAATCCATGTGATAGTGGTAAAGTAAAGCTATTGTGTTCCCCTAAAGGATGTGTTCGACAGATTAGTGTGGAAACGGAGTTAAGAAGGATTAGTAAGGAATATGAAGATATTATTCCAAAAACAATAAAAAGTGTTCAAAAAAATGATCTCCACTTACGTCTGTCCGATGACAGCTCACTGACTGACGAGGGTTACCATTCAATTCTTCAACCAGACCATGGGTACTCCTCCCTTCAGAGGCCGTGTAGTTTGTCAGTGTCTCAGATAGTGGAAACTGTGCCTGTAGAAAATATCAAGAATGTTTCCAGATCTGCGGAGATTCTCAGTAGTGACTTTATAGAAATCCCTACCCCTAACCCAGTGAAACCCCAGGCATTGTCACCGTCCAGTTCATGTAGTGTGTCCAGACTCTCACAGAAACTCTTAGAAGAAGAGGAATCCTCCTCCAGAAAGGATGTGACAGAGATGCCTACTGCCAAAGTCTCAGATATAAGGACGAGGTATCTTGAAGAAGGAAGTAATAGCATGTTTGATGAATATTTTACAGACCCCAGTATTGAAACTAAAACTATAGATAATCTAGATGCTAAGGATAGGATTATTAGTTTCCCACTTGTTAAGTCGGAATCCATCAGAAGCTCTACAGACAGTATTATAAGAGAACTGGCAGGCTGTGCTAATAGTCCCACAGCAGAGCTACAAGGTACTCATGAAAATCGCCTCGGCTCATTTGGTGGAGGAATACGTCCTCGTATCTCATCATTTTCTCGCCAGTATAGCACAGACAGAAATCATATCTCTGGCCGTCCCAACTCCCTTGCACCTGGAAGATGCAGGTAAGTGCAAACGTGTTTAAAATCTGTATTTAAATTAATTTTGGGCACCCATCTGAATCTTTTAAGCGAGATTTTATTTTACTTCAGATTTTTCTCAATATTGAAGGAATTCAATGCAGTAATCCATTTTCCCCAATTCTAACTCTCATAAATTGAGCTTTTGAAGTCTATGTTTTTGAGTTCATGTGGAGATTTGATGCCAAAGCAGAGTAAAATGAGAATATCCAAATGCTGATAGATGGTGAAATGAAATGTGTTATTAAATTGTTTCTATTTTATATAATTCTAAAAAAACACCACTTTAAAAAGGAAAGGGGAAGTATCACAAATTATGAAAAGGGAGAAGGAGAAATCAGATTTGATGCTATATTCACCTGTTTCAGATCTGTCACTCCCACTGAGCTTAGTAGGCGGCGCCACCTCTCCTCTACAAGTAGCTATGATGTAGATTTATCTGATCCTACATCAGGCTGTAAAGAACTGGACATGCCCAAGTAAGTAATGTAACTTGTTTTACAGGATTTTGAGGTACAGTCTCATTGTTATTTGAACATTGTCTGGAAAAATCACTGTTATAACAGTGTTTAAAGAGTAATAGTTATGGTCTTGTAAAATGGCAAGGTTTTATTGATCCAAACAGTGCAAATAGATTCATCACATACTGTATCTGTATTGGAAATTAAAGGTTTTGGTAAAAACAAAAATATTAGGTGCTGAACTGGTAATTCTGTTAACAGCTGAATAAAGAATGTGAAACCACAACCTAAAAATGGTTAACTCGCAGATATTGAAAACATGTCACATACACACAAAATTGTTCCTGATTGGTATTTCGTGTTGACTGCCTCCATGCTGTCTATTCCACAGAATGTTAATCTTAGATGATATTATAACTGACCGTTCCATTGTTGTAACATTTTAAATGATAACCATTCTATTGTTGATGACAGTTTAAATGATAACCATTCCGTTGTTGACGACAGTTTCAATGATAACCATTCTATTGTTGACGACAGTTTAAATGATAACCATTCTATTGTTGACGACAGTTTAAATGATAACCATTCTATTCTTAGTTTAAATGATAGCCATTCTATTGTTGACGACAGTTTAAATGATAACCATTCCATTGTTGACGACAGTTTAAATGATAACCATTCCATTGTTGACGACAGTTTCAATGATAACCATTCCATTGTTGACGACAGTTTAAATGATAACCATTCCATTGTTGACGACAGTTTAAATGATAACCATTCCATTGTTGACGACAGTTTAAGTGATAACCATTCCATTGTTGACGACAGTTTCAATGATAACCATTCTATTGTTGACGACAGTTTAAATGATTACCATTCCATTGTTGACGACAGGTTTAATGATAACCATTCCATTGTTGACGACAGTTTCAGTGGTGAACTCAGCAGCAGCAGTATCAAGGTATTTGACCGCAACTTTGGACGGTCATTGATGGCAGGATACTCTGATCATTACCTTTCCGACTTCGTTTTACATGGCACGTCAGAAAACAGCTTCCATGAGAAGCTTCGTAGTGATCTGGAAGTCGCTGTTCAGGTGTGTATGATTGTTTCAATTAAAAGTTTGTATGACCAGTTGTTGATACATTCATAATACCTTGCAATATCTGATTTTCTTTAGATTAATTGATTGCAGAGCAATTGTATGGGTGTAAAGCATTTAAATACTCCAGGTGAAACTGTCAGTGAGCAGACTAAGGTTTGAATTGGAGTGATAATATAGTTTTAAGGCATTCCTGGTATCACAATGATTGAGTCACAAAACCACACTTGTCATCAGAGGATTTACCAAATTCCAGATTTTGGGGTGTAATAGTAGAAATAAAGAGCCTGGTTACAAGCAACAAATGGGAAATATGATATCATTGAAAAAAACTGCTTGTTAGTGCCTTTGATTTGCTTCTTCTTTATGTTACGGGGGGGGGGGGGGGGGGGGGGNCTCCGTCAATTGTGACGTTTATGCCCTTGGGGGTCCTATTGCAGAGGCGTGAAAAAATGGGGTTATTTACAGTGATTAGTTTGGTTATTTTATGTTATTTTTTGTGCAAGGTATAGATAAAAGATAAAGCTGGGGTATGTTTGATAGTGTGATGAGGGCTTCAAGGGCTGCATAGGGTAAGTGTGCCTTGAAGTCCTCTAGTGTTGTGCATTGTACTGCTGCTATGGGTAGGAGATTCCATTTTGTTATTATGTGTGGAAAGAATGAATATTTGTAGGTGTACTTTGTAGCAAATACGTGTTTGTATGCGTGAGGGTGTGCATGTTTGGTTCGGGGGTCTCCCGGTGTGAGTATATGTGTTGGGTTTATGGCTGCAATTTGGTGTATAATTTTGTGAAAAAGGATAATTCTTGTGTAGCAGCGCCGTGTTTGTAGTGTTGGCAGACAATATTTAACAGTACAGAACACATGCAACACTGTTGTCATACTTGCTGCTTGTGGCCAAAGACAGAAGATGTTTGAAAGTTAAGTTTATCACTGGTGTGAGCTAGCTTAAACCCTGTCTTATGGTATTTAATAGGTGTTTGTGTACAGTGTTATATAACAGACATTTTCTGGCCTAATAATGCAGGTATTAAAACGTATACCCTCTGCACCCTACTGAAACATTAAAAATGGTACATCATAATGACCTATACTGCATTAACTGTCAATCAATAATTCAGTCGCAAAGCCTGAGATGTTGTAACTGGTATAGCTGGTTAAGTAACCTGTTTGAGATTTGATATTTTACACTGGACAGTGCTTAGGGGATAAGAAGGGTGATGTGGGGGGAGTTTGGCAAGGAGATGACTTATACAGGTTTTTATTCATGATCACAGTTCATTGTTTTACATGCAACCATGAGGGATTAAAAAATACAAAGAAAATAAGCATTTTGTAAGACCATGGCTTGTTAAGGGGTATAAAATTAAAAACAAGATAAAAAAACAAAACAATTTTAAGCTTAAGTGATATGTTTTACTTGCAGCATTCTGTATTGGATGAGCCCATAGGTGAAGCAGTGTGTATCATAGCCGACACTGACCAGTGGTAAGTATTTAAGCTTCAATATCTTTGGATTACTGCAACTAAGTCACAGCAACCATATTAAGTTTAAGTCCATATTTGGTTGCAGTACATACAATGTACAGTATCAACTGTAGGGAAACAAAGATTGATTTTGTGGAAACATGAGGATTTGGCCATAGGGTGTTAAGGTTATTTCTTGACAGCTTAACTAGTGACTGTCTCTATATTATTTGAAGATGTTTTTCCAGGTCAGATTGGTTCACACACTGACAACCAATCATACAAATTACTTATCTATACAACTAGATCTGTGTATCTTACCCTTTCAGGTGTGTTAATGTGGCGAGCAGTAGGGATGTTGACAAGCCTTTTGAACCCCTCACCAAGCCTGTGATAGCCTCCCAACTTGTGTGTAATCTCATGGAGGGAGTCCTTCAGCTTTGTAAACTAAAGATGAGTTCAGAATTTGTAAGTGAATATTGCATTAGTACTATATAATAAAATATCACAAGCGTCAAATATTTTTTTACAGGTTAAAGGGGGGAGACTTAAGTTTTCCGAACATAGTTCATTTGCACAAAATCCACTTAATAATGGAGCAGTGATTAACAAGAAACTAATTTATTTTTAAGAATTGTTTGCACATTCATTCTACAATTTCATTGGTATGGAACTGAAAAAGTCATTTGATTTATGTTTTAAGTTAAGTACAACTTTTATGTCCCTGTAAAATAATTGTTGTATGTCCCTGTAAAATAAATAATTGTTGTATGTCCCTGTAAAATAATTGTTGTATGTCCCTGTAAAATAATTGATTATTTTGAGGGACCTCTTATTGTTTCAGATATGAATGTTCCTGTTGTGTAATTATGAAAATGTATCTGTTATATTTTTGCAGTGTCTCATGCATTTAGAAGATAGACTGCAGGAAATTTTCTTCAAGAGCAAAATGTTGGCAGAATATCTGAAGGATGTAAAGAAGTGTAATATCAAAGAACTCACACAGCTTCTAGGGTATGTACCTAGTATGTAAATCACACAGCTGATAGGGTATGTACCTAGTATGTAAATCACACAGCTGATAGGGTATGTACCTAGTATGTAAATCACACAGCTGATAGGGTATGTACCTAGTATGTAAATCACACAGCTGATAGGGTATGTACCTAGTATGTAAATCACACAGCTGATAGGGTATGTACCTAGTATGTAAATCACACAGCTGATAGGGTATGTACCTAGTATGTAAATCACACAGCTGATAGGGTATGTACCTAGTATGTAAATCACACAGCTGATAGGGTATGTACCTAGTATGTAAATCACACAGCTGATAGGGTATGTACCTAGTATGTAAATCACACAGCTGATAGGGTATGTACCTAGTATGTAAATCACACAGCTGATAGGGTATGTACCTAGTATGTAAATCACACAGCTTCTAGGGTATGTACCTAGTATGTAAATCCCACAGCTGATAGGGTATGTACCTAGTATGTAAATCACACAGCTGATAGTGTATGTACCTAGTATGTAAATCACACAGCTTCTAGGGTATGTACCTAGTATGTAAATCACAAAGCTTCTAGGGTATGTACTTAGTATGTAAATCACAAAGTTGTTAGGGTATGTACCTAGTATGTAAATCACACAGCTGATAGGGTATGTACCTAGTATTTAAATCACACAGCTAATAGGCTATGTACCTTGTATTTAAATCACACAGCTGATAGCCTATGTACCTAGTATGTAAATCATACAGCTGATAGTGTATGTATCTAGTATGTAAATCACACAGCTGATAGGTTATGTACCTAGTATGTGAATCACACAACTGATGTGTATGTACCTTGTATTTAAATCACACAGATGATAGGGGATGTACCTAGTATGTGAATCATACAGCTGATAGTGTATGTGCCTAGTATGTAAATCCCACAGCTTCTAGGGTATATACCCAGTATGTAAATCCCACAGCTGATAGTGTATGTATTTAGTATGTAAATCACACAGCTTCTAGGGTATATACCCAGTATGTAAATCCCACAGCTGATAGCCTATGTACCGAGTATGTAAAACATACAGCTGATAGTGTATGTGCCTAGTATGTAAATCCCACAGCTGATAGCCTATGTACCTTGTATGTAAATCACGCAGCTGATAGGCTATGAACCTAGTATGTAAATCGGGGGGCTGATAGTGTATGTATCTAGTATGTAAATCTCACAGCTGATAGGCTGTGTACCTAGTATGTACGTCGCAACGCTGATAGTGTATGTATCTAGTATGTAAATCACAAAGCTGATGTGTATGTAACTTGTATGTAAATCACCCAGCTGATCGGGCATGTACCTAGTATGTGAATCACACAACTGATGTGTATGTACCTTGTATTTAAATCCCACAGCTGATAGTGTATGTGCCTAGTATGTAAATCGGGGGGCTGATAGTGTATGTGCCTAGTATGTAAATCCCACAGCTGATAGTGTATGTATCTAGTATGTAAATGACACAGCTGATGTGTATGTAACTTGTATGTAAATCACCCAGCTGATCGGGCATGTACCTAGTATGTACGTCGCAACGCTGATAGTGTATGTGCCTAGTATGTAAATCACACAGCTGATAGGCTATGTACCTAGTATGTAAATCACACAGCTTCTAGGGTATGTACTTAGTATGTAAATCACACAGCTTCTAGGGTATGTACCCAGTATGTAAATCACACAGCTGATAGGCTATGTACCTAGTATGTAAATCACACAGCTGATGTCACTGAAACTTGGTGCGAAATTTTTGATTCACCTCAAAACTGATACAAATAAGCATCATGTTTAAGTTTGATAGAACAACTATATATATTTTTTCATCTGACACCTTAAAAATTAAACATTGGAGTCTCATACTTACCTATGAATAGCACCTAACTTAAGGTTGTTTATTCCCTTATAAGGAAAGCAAACTTTTAATGACTGATGGACATTATGGTAGCTTCAGATGAATTCTTAGATGCGGATACTGAACTACATGTTTTTCTGTAAAAATGTCATCAAATTAGCTGTGTAACACCGTCAAGATTAAACAATAACGTTGTAGTTATGCACTCTTGTTACATGTAACAACATCTTTATGTTGCAGGTTTGAGCCAGGTGATCTTCCATTACTGGTGGCCATAGCAGGAACCCACTCTCCTCATCTTTCCTTGGGAGTCATCTAGGTCACAGGGGTCACCTAAGTCATAGGTCAGGGGTTATCTAGCTGTCAACGCTCTTTTAGCAAGAGTAAAAATGACTGTCAGTTGAAGATCTTGTTTTTGACTATTTGTAACGTTAAATAAACAGAGCTTTATCAATGAATTCAAGGTCTGTCTGCAGTCACCAGGTCTTGCACTACAAAACCTAGGTCTTTCCAAGGATTTATATTTTGTAACTTCTGAATCTGAATATGTCATGAAAGCTAGTTTTATGGTGCAATACATGTGATACATAAATTCATAGATACATTATGTCATACATTTAATTTTATAGCTACTTATTCATTAGTTGTCAGGGAAAAGGAGAAGCAAAACTAATACAGAAAAAAATCCATATAGCTGCCCAAAATATAAATCAACTATCATCAATTATATTATCCTCTAATTTGCTAGATACCACCTTCATTTAAATAAGTCCTGTTAATAATGTACCAGTATTGCTGACCTTTTCAGGATATGACTCATTATCAGCATAGCATTGTTTTTGCAGCAGTACAAAGAGCGTATACATAAGTTAACTTACAGAGGGAAAGAATGGAAATGATCTCAGATTGATTTGTATTATTGTATGATACCAGATTGTGATATCTTTTGTGTAATTGTATGTGATTGATATGACTGGGTGAAGAGATTCTAGGCTGTCTATAGGATAACCACACTTTGTGGAGAATCAGAATCACATTCTTCACCTGGTGATAAACTGAATAAAGTGGAATCTCATTAATCCAGAAAAGTGAAATTATCAAACATTATTTAATGTATATGTCATTTCCTGTTTTAGTTTTCAATTCCAATTACGGAACAGTTCAGGAACAAATTTTCGGATTAATGAGGTTCAACTGTACAACCTTAAAATACTGTACATGTGTCTATTTTAGTGCTTCCTGCACTGACCCTGAATCTTAGTGAAGTACAGCACTAAAATTCTGTATGTAGCATGCACATGTAATACATTCAAAGAAAATATAATAACCCATATTTATACATATGTGATACTTCCATATGTTTCAATTAGTGGTAAAAAGCTATAAAATGACCAGTCTCCAACATACATTATGATATTGAGAATTCAGTTTGTGGTAACATTTTGGCATAGTAAACAGTTAATGTCGGGGAAGGTTATATTACATCTGGCCACTATATAATACAAATGGATAAGCGGCAGTTCAGTTTCAGACTTTTGGAATGGATATGAGAAAAGAAATTATCCTCTGATATGTTGATGCACGCTAAAGATTGCACAAGTACTGTTCTTTGTTCTCAATTTTGTTTGTTCCAATACAAGTACATGTATGGTAAAGTATTCAGAACCATGTACGGACTAGATATAATGACATATCATATTTATATACATATACAGTATACAGTATGGTAAACAAGCAATATTGTACATATCCAGTGTATTAAACAGTGCTAACTATATAAGTTGTATAGTACAGTAACTAATGTTGTGAAGTACAATTGGTTCTGGTACATGTCCGTTGAGTACAGTCGGTACTGGAACATGTCCGTTGAGTACAGTCGGTACTGGTACATGTCCGGTAGTAGTCGGTACTGGTACATGTCCGTTGAGTACAGTCAGTACTGGTACATGTCCGTTGAGTACAGTCGGTACTGGTACATGGCCGGTAGTAGTCGGTACTGGTACATGTCCGTTGAGTACAGTCAGTACTGGTACATGTCCGTTGAGTACAGTCGGGACTGGTACATGTCTGTTGAGTACAGTCGGTACTGGTCCATGTCCGTTGAGTACAGTCGGTACTGGTACATGTTTGTTGAGTACACTCGGTACTGGTACATGTCCGTTGAGTACAGTCGGTACTGGTACATGGCCGGTAGTAGTCGGTACTGGTACATGTCTGTTGCGTACAGTCGGTACAGGTACATGTCTGTTGAGTACAGTCGGTACTGGTACATGTCTGTTGAGAACAGTCGGTACTGGTACATGTCTGTTGAGAACAGTCGGTACAGGTACATGTCTGTTGAGTACAGTCGGTACTGGTACATGTCCGTTAGTACAGTCTGTACGAGTACATGTCTGTTGAGAACAGTCGGTACTGGTACATGTCTGTTGAGAACAGTCGGTACTGGTACATGTCTGTTGAGAACAGTCGGTTCTGGTACAGGTGGTTATCGTATGGTCTGTACTGTATGTTGCGTGTCAGAATAGCTGGAGCATGTGACTTGGCAGCTAATCTAATTAGATTATAATGACTAGACCGGTACATTTAATTCATGCTTTACATTTTATTGTGATTCTTTATATCCTGGTAGATGTATCATTATAAGCAAAGGAAAACCTTTCTTGTCACAGCATTTTATTCCTTTGGTACCCATATTTCTCATATAGAGAAGTATTATTATTTTTAAATTTTATTATATAATATAAATAATTAAATATTAATTATGAGCTTAACCATGTCTGATATAGAGTTTGTGTGAAGACTATGTCAATGGCCAGTATTATTAGTACTATATGTATTTGTAGTGTTTAATGTGTGTGTTTGTAATTATGTAAGGCATGTTTCTGCAGTGCTGATACATTTACAGTGCCTTCTTTGCTCCCCTAGTACAAGGGAGGTAATCTGATCACTCTGTGTCTATTGTCCAGCCATGAAATTGACATATTTTTAGCTTCTGAGAAATGGTCATCAAAATTTTTGCCCAAATGTTCCATTTTGGGTCTTGACCATATTGTAATGTTGCGTTGATGAGCTGGAATTCCAAAATGACCACCTTGAATTGGTGTAGACATATTCAACTTCTCAAATTCCATCAGGCCTGTACATTGCCTTGACCAAATGGTAATATTTTGTTTGGCCATTTCAGAATCTAGTTGGCTACAGTCCTCTCTTGGCCACGACATTATTAACTTTGTAAGTTCCAGTACACAGACTTGTAATTTTTTCCCGGCCAAATCGACATGCAATTGAATTATTTCCATGTAAGTGAGCCTGTACACCTATCATTTTATTATTAGCTCACCTGGTCCGAAGGACCAAGGTGAGCTTATGCCATACTGTGGCGTCCGTCGTCCGTCCATCAACAATTTCTTTAAACGACTTCTTCTTCTTAACCACTGATTGGAATTCAACTAAATTTGACTGGAAGCATCCCTAGGTAGTGGAGATTCAAAATTGTACAAATAGTGGGGCTGACGGGCAGGGCCAAAAGGGGGCAATTTGGCTATATTGCTACAAACGACTTCTTCTGTAGAACCATGCACTGGATATATTTGACCATATTTGATCAAAAGCATTCATGGGTGGCAGGGATTCAAAATTGTACAAATGGTTTGGCTGACCCCCCAGGGGGCTGAGGGGCGGGGGCAAAAAAGGGTATTTGGCTATATTGCTTTAAGCGACTTCTCTGGAACTAAGTGATGGATATCAACCATATTTGACTGGAAGCATCCCTAGGTGGTGGCAATTCAAAATTGTACAAATGGTGGGGCTGACCCCCCAGGGGGCTTAGGGGCGGGGTCAAAAGGTGGCAATTTGGCTATATTGCTATCAACGACTTCTTCTGTAGAACTATGCCATGGATGTCAATCATATTTGGTCGGAAGCATTCATGGGAGGCAGGGATTCAAAATTGTTCAAATGGTGGGGCTAACCCCCTGGCTAAGGGGTGGGGTCCAACCAGTTTATTACTGGGAAATGGTTGAGATCCCCATCGTATAACCATATATACAATGGATGAGTAAAAGAGAAGAACGCACATTTGCTTCCAGGATGGCCCCACCCTTTGAGACATAGTCCCTGGGTTATAACTTTGAAATGGTTCAGATTCCTACCCCAAAACTATATACATGTATACAATATATGCAAATGTAGTCATGATATTAGAATAGACTCTGGGGTCTGACCAAACCCCCTAGGGACCTAGTTTCTTAGTCACAGCTTGGAAACAGTTGAGATCCCCACCTTATAACCATATATACAATTGCTGAGTATAAAGAGATGAATGCACATAGGCTTCCAGGATGTCCTTGGGGTATGCCCCACCCTTGGAGACTTAACCCCTGGGTCATAACTTTGAAATGGTTAAGATCCCCACCCCAAAACTATATATACAATTGTTGGGCATAAAGAGAGGAATGCAGTCATGATATCAGAATTGATCCTAGAGTCTGGCCACAACCATAGGGACCTAGTTTCTGAGTCACAGCTTGGAGGCAGTTGAGATCCCCACCCCATAACCATACATTAAATTGCTGGGCATGACAAATCTAATACAGATGTGCTACAAGGATTGGCCTTGGGGTCTGGCTTATTTCCTTGGATCTCATTTGGAGAATATTTTGCCATGATTGCTTAGATAATCAGGTGAGTGATACAGGCCCTCTGGGCTCTTGTTTAGTCACAAACTTCAATTTGATTATTATCGCCTTTCATGATAAGATGATAAACATTTTAGAGAGTTTTTAGGAAAAAATTAATGTTTAATAATGCATTTCAACAGTGACTGCATGATGTGCTATGCCGTTGCAATAATACACAAAGATTGCCGTGTCTGTAGTGTGCTGGAGTTCTGTGTGTTATTTAATGTATTGACATGTCACTTCCAGATCTTAACTAATGTATTAAAATAACACACGAAGAGGCGGAGGAGTCCAACATCTTGACGGTTCTGGTTGGTAGATGTCTCGGTGGATGAATCCTACATGATAAATGCTACATCTTTTTAAAGTATTGAAAATGTATATCGGTGCTCCAGTGAATAATCCTTATTCCTCCTGTATCATTAAGATTGACCTTTCATGATTTCTATGTCATTTGTTTTCATTTCATGTTCCATATTTTTAATGTGGTTTAGTCATACAGTTTGCACTTATTCCAAATATTAGCTCGGCTGGCACTAAGTGCCCATGAGTTTTTAGTATGGTGTAGCATTCTCCAATAATTATTTCCTTCAAATGGCTTCTCAAGAAATGAAAAACCTAGAATTATGACAGCTTTTTTTTGCGTAAAGAAATAAGCTTGACTAACCTGCGACTTCAAAATTAACCCTCACTGTTCAGTGGTTAAGATGATCTAATCTGGAAATAAGTATGCTTAGCTTACATGTGGGCCTCTTATATATATTTCAGAAACTTTGAAATTTAAACATAAAGTATCGATCAAATATAACTAAATGTCTTTGTATAGTGAAAAATGTGTTGGGACAACAGAACATCATCATAAAATTCAATGTTAATATACAATTGTATAGTGTCAAATGATTGGGGTAATACTATAACAGTTTCAATCTTTGCCAGTTTGATCATACATAAAACTCAAATTTTAATTGGTGATCATTTCATGTGTTCAATGAAAATACAATGAATGTTTTGCAACATTACATGGTGGAATTTGAGATTGGGTTGAATGTAATTGATATTTTTGCAATTCATTAACTAGGTAAAGTTTGGATTCTGACTTGTAATCTAATATCATGTCAGAGAAACAATTCAGTTTGATTGTTGAAGTGATAATGTTCTCTGCTAAATTAAAAGCAGGAGTGATATGGAAGCACATTATTTACCTCAGAGCCTAGTTGTTGGATGTCTGTCCATTATATATGTTGACAGATATATGTCACCAGTCCTTGTTCTTGGCATGTTTCACAAATTTATTGAAAGTGAACAAAACATTTTTGGCTAAGAATTTAAGGTATTGTCTGAAAATAATATTTGCTTTTATGGACTTTTACATTTCATGAAGTGTGAAATATGTCATGAAGTTTGAAATAATTTGTTCTGTTTTCCAGTTATGAAGCTACCTGTATACTGAACATTATAACAGTCCTCTGTATTCATGTATAACACATTCTTTAGATAAGTTCTTGACTGCCAATGTTTTATAGCCCGTAAATTATGTAATAAATTATTGAATACCGATACCTTTTGTATTTTTTTATTGAATCATTTATGTAAAGGTACATATACAGTAGGGTACTACTACCAGGTTCATCTTCACAATTTTAGCTCATCAGGTAGGAAATGCTTATGAGGTTATGGTACGCGCCAAATGATAATAAACCAGTAGCTACCTAAACATTATGAACAACTTTTCAAGATTCATGGATATACATTTATATTGATTCAGATTTGAAGTGTTCATATTTTTGTGTTATAATTTGTTCAATTCTGCTAAAAACTGCATCAGGAAATATTTGTATTCGTGTACAATTTCGGCAGAATTGTTGAGTATGGAGAGGATTCTTAGTTCAGAAGTAAACCTTATCATTGAAAAAATACATCACAGCCATAGTACAGTATGAATTTTAGTATGCAGTATTAGTACATGTATATGTTTTAGTAAATGAGCAAGTTTGAACCCTTTTATTCTGCCCCGCGGCAACCTGGCCCCAGTTGCTCAAAGAGTGGTTAGACCTCTGGTTAAAAGTCTATCAACAGTTGAGCAACTTGGGCCTGAAGGTTCAACCACTTATCTGCAATGTAGCTTGGAAGTAGATGGCATTTAAAATAAGAAAATCCATAGTCCCCCCCCACACACACCTGTAATGATTTCTACAGGTGTCACTTATGTCAGGAAGCATACAGTGAGGCCATAGTGACCTACTTCTTGGACTTTGCCATCCCAAGATGTCCTTGTACACCAGATCAGACGGAAGGACGGATGGAGTGCAAACATGTAGTCCCCCCTGGGCCAATATGACACCTTGGACCCTGCTCCTCAGTGCCGAGAAATGGTCAACCCTTTCGTTCATATTAATTTTTATCCACAAAGCCTTGGGATGCTAGAACCAAAATTTGGTTGAATTCTGCTTAGTAGTTTGGAAGATGTCATTTAAAGCAAATCTGCCAATTTGACATCTTTTTACCTAGCACTTCAGCCCCCAGGAGGGTTATATTTGTGTAACCTTTGATCCCCATGGGCTAAGCATGCTATCACTTGGTTGAAATCTGGCAAATCTGCCCTATAGTTTGAAGATGTCATTTAAAGCAAATCTGCCTATTTGACCAATCTCCTTAGCCCCTGTATTTGTATAAATTTGGTTCCTGTGACCTCACGATGATAGCAGTAAGATTTGGTTCAATTTCAGTTCTGCTCATTAGTTTGGGAAGAAAATGTCCTTTAAAGCAAATCAGCTAATCTGACTCCCCTATTACTGGGCTCCTCAGCCCCCACGAGGGGCTGACAACAGGTGATGAATGAACAACGGACACAACACCACCACCACATAATCTCACCCTATAAGTACAAAGTAATGCATACCAGGGGAATTTATGATTAAATGTATGAACTTTTATGACCATTTTTATCCAATATCTTTATTCACATTGTTTACTGGAACAGTGTCTACCTATTGCATGCAGATGCACTTATTGCAAATGTGTGCAGTAATCAAATGATAATACATGAGAATTGATCAATACATTTGAATCAAAATTCTAGTAAAATGGTTGAGGCTGGAATAACAAGCACCACATCTTTCTGTCACAATCCTGTGCCTATAACACTGTACAATAAGTCTCAACATAGCCTGGTTAACCATTTTGAGTTCATCCATTACACACTGTACAGCAGGTAACAACATAGCCAGGCTCACCATCTTGTGTTCTGTCCATTACACACTGTACAACAGGTCTCAACACTGCCAGGCTCACTATCTTGTGTTCTGTCTATAACACACTGTACAACAGGTCTCAATACAGTCTGGATCACTATTTTGTGTTCTGTCCATTATACACTGTACAATAGGTATCAACACAGCCTGGCTCATCATCTTGTGTTCTGTCTATAACACACTGTACAACAGGTCTCAAGATAGCCTGGCTCCCTATCTTGTGTTCTGTCTATAACACACTGTACATTTAGTATCAACACAGCCTGGCTCACTATCTTGTGTTCTGTCTATAACACAATGTACATTACGTATCAACACAGCCTGGCTCACTATCTTGTGTTCTGTCCATAACACACTGTACATTACGTATCAACACAGCCAGGCTCACTATCTTGTGTTCTGTCTATAACACACTGTACATTACGTATCAACACAGCCTGGCTCACTATCTTGTGTTCTGTCTATAACAGGCTGTACAACAGATAACAACACAGCCTGCCTCACCATCTTGTGTTCTGTCTTATAACGCCGTACAAGTTACCGACTATATCAACATAGCCTGGCTCATCATCTTGTGTTCTACACAATGTCAAGTAATCTTGTTTCCAATAATGACCCCCAAGGCAATGATTGCTGAAAAATAAAAACAAAAGGTACAAAATTGACTTAACAAACTATTTATCAATGGTCCTGTTTTACCTGGACTGAACAACCCACTATTGAAATTTTATGTACACATTTTATATTTACTAGGCACTGTCTTCATTTCAACAGACACTGCCATACCATTTGCAAGGGCTGCCTGTCATCACAGTGTTCCCACACAACGACCATCACAGAAGACCCTAAGAACTATCATACCCATTCAATGACCATAATACACTGACATGTGGTCTTAAATATCGCCATCATACACAGCACAAAAACCCTAACACAAGGTCATCAAACATATTTTCATAACCAGGCAACCACCACTGAAACACGGGTTTCAAAACCACTATATCAGGGGAGTTCTCAAACTATTATCATACACTAGGTAATACAAAAACACTGGGTCCTTAAAACTACCATAACACAGGGTCCTCAAAACAATTGTCATACACAGAGTAAAGATTACGGTAATACACGGGTTCCTCAAAACCATCAGTACACAGGGTCCTTAAAACTACCATAATTTGGGGGGTCCTCAAAACAAATGTCATACACAGCGTCCTCAAAACCATCAGTACACAGCGTCTTCACAACCACCATTATGCAGGGTCCTCAAAACCACTATCATACACAGGGTAATAACAATAATTCCAGGTCCTCAAAAACCCAAACATACATAAGGTTTTAAAAACCACCAGTACATAGGGTCCTCAATACCACTATCATACACAGGGTACTAACAATAATTCCAGGTCCTCAAAAACCCAAACATACATAAGGTTTTAAAAACCACCAGTACATAGGGTCCTCAATACCACTATCATACCCAGGGTAAATCCCATAACACAGGGTCCTCAAACCACTATCATACACAGGGTAAATAACATTACACAGGGTCCTCAAACCAATATCATACACGGGTAAATACCATAACACAGGGACCTCAAACCACTATCATACACAGGGTAAATACCATTACACAGGGTCCTCAAACCACTATCATACACGGGTAAATACCATAACACAGGGTCTTCAAATCACCATTACACAGGGTCATCAAAATCACCATTACACAGGGTCCTCAAACCACTATCATACACAGGGTAAATACCATTACACAGGGTCCTCAAACCACCATTACACAGGGTAAATACCATTACACAGGGTCATCAAAATCACCATTACACAGGGTAAATACCATTACACAGGGTCCTCAAACCACTATCATACACAGGGTAAATACCATAACACAGGGTCCTCAAACCACCATTACACAGGGTCATCAAACCACTATCATACACAGGGTAAATACCAGTACACAGGGTCATCAAAACCACTATCATACACAGGGTAAATACCATAACACAGGGTCATCAAAACCACCAGTAGACAGGGTCATCAAAACACTTTTACACAGGGTCATCAAAACACTTTTACACAGGGTCATCAAATCACTTTTACACAGGGACCTCAAAAACACTTTAACATAGAGTCTTCGAAACCACCATTACACAGGGTCATCAAAACACTTTTACACAGGGTCATCAAAACACTTTTACACAGGGACCTCAAAAACACTTTAACATAGAGTCTTCGAAACCACCATTACGCAGGGTCATCAAAACCACCATTACACAGGGTCATCAAAACCACTATCATACACAGGATAAATACCATAACACAGGGTCATCAAAACCACAATTACACAGGGTCATCAAAACACTTTTACACAGGGACCTCAAAAACACTTTAACATAGAGTCTTCGAAACCACCATTATGCAGGGTCATCAAAACCACCATAACACAGGGTCATCAAAACCACTATCATACACAGGGTCATCAAAACCACTATCATACACAGGGTAAATACCATTACACAGGGTCATCAAATCACCATTACACAGGGTCATCAAAACCACTATCATACACACGGTCATCAAAACCACTATCATACACAGGCTAAATACCATAACACAGGGCCCTCAAATCACCATTACACAGGGTCATCAAAACCAATATCATACACAGGGTAAATACCATAACACAGGGTCCCCAAATCACCATTACACAGGGTCATCAAAATCACCATTACACAGGGTAAATACCATTACACAGGGCCATCAAATCACCATTACACAGGGTCATCAAAATCACCATAAGGGTCCTCAAAACCACTATCATACACAGGGTAAATCCCATAACACAGGGTCCTCAAATCACCATTACACAGGGTCATCAAAATCACCATAACATAGGGTCATCAAAACACTTTTACACAGGGACCTCAAAAACACTTTAACATAGAGTCTTCGAAACCACCATTACGCAGGGTCATAAAAACCCCATAACACAGGGTCATCAAAACCACTATCATACACTAGGTAATGACCATAATACAACTATACAAATATTATTTTTTAATACATATATTTATTACACTTATACAGTACCTTTGGTTCTATGTGGTGGTTATCTTCATCATTATAGTCAAGATGAAACTTCCCTTGTGGTCTGGAATCTGTAGTAAGGTATTAATGAAAACTTTGATATTGAATGTTTTACAGAGAAATGAGTATTTTATTCAGCTTTATAACACATTTGCCCATTTGCCATCCTTCACAGTTCTGCTATTGATAAACTTAATTACATGTTTTAGCTTTTAATTCTTTGTTTAAATGTTTAAACACCGTTAGTTGTACCAATGCTGTCAGAGTTTGTGACTTTATCACATGTAGAGAAAAAAGTAGTATATATATATATAATTATATATTACAACAAATATGAAATAAGTTCTATCAATTTGTATTAATCACTCTTGTTGACCTTGATGACAGCTTTATAAGGGGTCGTAAAAAACTGGGGTACACGTAGAAAACCCACTTGTCAGTCCTATACCTTGTCCTGTCTGAACAATGTCTACACCAAACCTCAAGCATCAACATAACTACAGTATTGTACTAAATGCAGGGAATGTGAATTCTATGAAATGGTTTGTTTACATTGAGCTAACTTGTTTTATATACTCTAACTTACCCCTTGTTTACAACATGAGAACATGTTGGATATATTTACCTGATCCTCCTTGTTTACACCATCAGAACATGTTGGGTATATTTACATGATCCTCCTTGTTTACACCATCAGAACATGTTGGATATATTTACCTGATCCTCCTTGTTAACACCATGAGAACATGTTGGATATATTTACCTGATCCTCCTTGTTTTGTATCTATTTCTACCAATTGTGCATCATGATAGAAATTTAGGACAACACCTTCCTACAACAAATAAATAAAAATAAAAAATAGCAATTGCTAAATTCAATTATAAATTGGCAACTCGTGTCTACCAACACTTCTTCATAATAAACCAACTAACAGTGACCATTACTGACAGGAAAATCAGGCATATGATATATAGAGAATAATACATGCCTTTTTCCATATCACACCCAGTATCACCCCGAGACTGCAATAGCAGCCCGAGGGCTGATATTGGTCGAGGGTTGATACTGGGTGTGATATGGAAAAAGGCATGTTTTATTCTGTTTATTACATACTTACTAATAAAAACTACTATCTTATGCTTTATTTTTATTTTTGAAATATTGAAAAACATTTTTTTTTCCAAAAGGGGTGTGATATGGGTTTTGCGGGCTGACACAGGTTTTGGGGTGTGATACGGCGAGGGCTGATATGGGTAAGAGCAATTGTGTCGTATCGCATATACAAACCCCCCGTATTTATTAGTAAGTATGTAATAAATACATGTATCATGAGTGCATTTTGTTTCAGGAATTAACATTATTATTCACACATTTGATATTTAATCTGTGTATCAAGTCTGAGTGCTCTTTAATAAAAAAAAAACCAAAGAGTACTGTGGGGCGGAACAAAATACGCCCGTCGAATGCCATATAGTGTTATATACTTTCTTACAATGAAATAAGATCTGCATCATTCTAAGAGTGGTTAGCTGATATGCTATAAAAAACTGTAGGAGAAAATCTTCAGACAAAAAATCTAATGAACAAAAGCAATAAATTTTGCAAAAATCGTGGAATCAAAATTCTTTTAAGGGAGACACAACTTCATATCATGATTTTAAAATATACCAAGTTTCAAAGAGATCTGTTGAAAAATGTATGAGGAGATCTCCGGACAAAATTCAAATACTGAAATGAACAAAGGGCAATATCTTTTGGAAAAATTGTCGAATCAAAATTCTTTTAAGGGAGACACAACTTCATATCATGTATACCAATTTTCAAATACTGAAATGAACAAAGGGCAATAACTTTTGAAAAAATTGTTGAATCAAAATTCTTTTAAGGGAGACACAACTTGATATCATGATTATAATGTATACCAAGTATCAAATAGATCGATCGAAAAATGTAGGAGAGAACTGCTGTACAAACAAAGTTTACGCCAGACAGACGGACGGACAACGCCATACCATAATACTACCGTCAAATTTGACGGTCGTATACAAAACAATCCCATAGGAGTCATTGTATATACTGCCTGATTTCATGTAAGTTTAATATTTTATCTTCTTCTTCCTTCTCTTTTGGATTGAGTCATGCAGACAGTAAATGGACCTTGAGATAACTTTTGATCAAAACTGCTGTAAACGACATTGTTTTTTCAAAGTGAGGCTCTTTTTGACCTATTATAGTAATTGTACATAGTAATGGATGTGTAAACCAGAGCACAGGAGGAATGGAACATTATAATCCCATCACAGGGGGAATGGAACATTATAATCCCATCACAGGAGAAATGGAACATTATACACCCATCACAGGAGGAATGGAACATTATACACCCATCACATGCAACTGGGCATCCACGTGCACTATGATCTAAAACTGTTTTGGATGCAGTTTTTGTAATAAAAAATATTAAAACATTTAAATGTTACAAGAAAAAAATAGAAATGCATTTGTAAAATATTATTCATGAAAATAAAGTAATTGTACAATGTGTTTAAATGGGAAACATATATTTTAACCACATTTCTGCCCAAATTGTCTTAGAATGTTGGCAAAAGGAGAAAACCCTACAATACACAGTTGAATAACAAATCCTTAAGAAATTATAATAAATCATGAAATTATATAGTAGCAAGAGGTTCAGAGGGCCTGTATCGCACACCTGGATATTGAAGCAGTCATAGCAAAATGTTAAATAAACATTATACTGTATTACAAATATTTCCAAATATTGGCTCTGTCTCTCAGCAACACTGTTACCTTATTGGGTCCCATTCTCCTGTCCCCATTGGGATAGGCGCATGGTTTCTACAACATTATATCATGTTGGGCCTAATATATCAAATTAGATTAAGATAAAGCTTTAGGATAAAGTAGGTTAAGGTATTTTTCAATCGCAAACTATGTTGGGCTCCATCTAAGGAAGCTACTTGTCAAATAGCACGACTCCATGCCTTTCACTTCTTCAAAAGATGCTGTTTGCAGTTTGTGACCTTAAAAGTAGGTTGAGGTAATTTTCAATAGCAAACTTTGGTGGGCTCCATCTTTGACAGTTACCAGCCAAATATTATAATTCTATGCCTTTAGATTATTCAGAAGAAGCCATTTGAAATGTTTGACGTATTTGGCTCCTGTGACCTTGAAAGTAGGTTGAGGTCATTTTCATTCGCAAACATTGTTGGGCTCAATCCCAAAAAGCACACAGCCAAATAATACGATTCTATGCATTTCGATTATTCAAAAAAAGTCGTTTGAAGTGTTTGACATATTTGACCTCTGTGACCTTGATAGTAGGTCAAGGTCATTTTCATTCTCAAACTTTGTTGGGCTCCATCCCAAGAAGCCACCAGCCAAATATTAAGATTCTGTACCTTTCAGTTCTTCAGAAGAAGTCATTTAAAGTGTTTGACCCCTGTGACCTTGATAGTAGGTCAAGGTCATTTCCATTCTCAAACTTTGTCTGGCTCTATCCAAAAAAACTACCAGCCAAATATTAAGATTCTATACCTTTCAGTTCTTCTTCAGAAGTTGTTTATAAGTGTTACACATATTTGACCCCTGTGACCTTGAAAGTAAGTTGAGGTCATTTTCATTCCCAAACTTTGTTAGGCTCTATCCCAAGAGGCTACCAGCCACAATTTAAGATTCTATACTTTTCAGTTTTTCAGAAGAAGTCATTTGAAGTATTTGACACTTTTGACCCCTGTGACCTTAAAAGTAGATCAAGGTCATTTTCGTTCTCAAATTTTGTTGGGCTCTTACTAACGAAGCTACCAGACACATATTACCATTCTATACCATTCAGTTCTTCATAAGAAGTCATTATAAGTATTTGACATTTTTTACCCCTGTGACCTTGAAAGTTTGTTGGGCTCTTACCAACGAAGCTATCACCCAAATATCCTGACTCTAGGCCTGTCCATTCTTCAGAAGAAGTCGTTTAAAGGAAAAGTTGACAGACGAAGGCTGAGATGCCGGCGGATGGACGCTGATGGACAGACAGATGACAGACGCTGCACCATGGCATCAGCTCACTAGCCCTTGGAGCAGGTGATTTAACAAAATAGCAGATTAGATAATAGGGACTTTGTAACACATACCTTGTAGTTAGACACCTCTGGTGTGTAGCTGTCAGAAAGTTCCAAGACCTGGAGAGAATAAATTAAAATATTTATGAAAATGAGATTGGTGACCTATATTTACAGGACATGTGAGTAATTACTTTGTTGTTGACCTATATTTACAGGACATGAGTTTGATTACCTTGTTAGTGACTTATATCTAGGGAGCATGTGAGTAATTACAATGTTGGTGACCTATATTTATAGGACATGTGAGTAATTGCTTTGTTAGTGACTTATATCTAGGGAGCATGTGGGTATTTTCAATGATTGTGACCTATATTTATAGGACATGTGAGTAATTACTTTGTTGTTGACCTAGATTTACAGGACATGAGTTTGATTACCTTGTTAGTGACTTATATCTAGGAGCATGTGAGTAATTACAATGTTGGTGACCTATATTTACAGGACATGTTAGTAATTACTTTGTTAGTGACTTATATATATGGAACATGTGAGTAATTACAATGTTGGTGACCTGTATTTACAGGACATGTGAGTAATTATTTTGTTAGTGACTTATATATATGGAACATGTGAGTAATTACAATGTTGGTGACCTATATTTATAGGACATGTGTGTAATTACTTTGTTAGTGACTTATATCTAGGGAACATGTGAGTAATTACAATGTTGGTGACCTGTATTTACAGGACATGTGAGTAATTATTTTGTTAGTGACTTATATATATGGAACATGTGAGTAATTACAATGTTGGTGACCTATATTTATAGGTCATGTGAGTAATTACTTTGTTAGTGGCTTATATCTAGGGAGCATGTGAGTAATTACAATGTTGGTGACCTGTATTTACAGGACATGTGAGTAATTATTTTGTTAGTGACTTATATATATGGAACATGTGAGTAATTACAATGTTGGTGACCTATATTTATAGGTCATGTGAGTAATTACTTTGTTAGTGACTTATATCTAGGGAAAATGTGAGTAATTACAATGTTGGTGACCTGTATTTACAGGACATGTGAGTAATTACTTTGTTGTTGACCTAGATTTACAGGACATGAGTTTGATTACCTTGTTAGTGACTTATATCTAGGAGCATGTGAGTAATTACAATGTTGGTGACCTGTATTTACAGGACATGTGAGTAATTATTTTGTTAGTGACTTATATATATGGAACATGTGAGTAATTACAATGTTGGTGACCTATATTTATAGGACATGTGTGTAATTACTTTGTTAGTGACTTATATATATGGAACATGTGAGTAATTACAATGTTGGTGACCTATATTTACAGGACATGTTAGTAATTACTTTGTTAGTGACTTATATCTAGGGAAAATGTGAGTAATTACAATGTTGGTGACCTATATTTACAGGACATGTGTGTGATTACTTTGTAGGTGACCTATATTTCCAGGACATGTGTGTGATTACTTTGTAGGTAACCTATATTCCCAGGACATGTGTGTGATTACTTTGTAGGTGACCTATATTCCCAGGACATGTGAGTGATTACTTTGTAGGTGACCTATAGTTACAGGACATGTGAGTGATTACTTTGTAGGTGACCTATATTTACAGGCCATGGGGGTGATTAATTTGTAGGTGACCTATATTCACAGGACATGTGAGTGATTACTTTGTAGGTGACCTATATTCACAGGACATGTGAGTGATAACTTTGTAGGTGACGTATATTTACAGGACATGTGAGTAATTACAATGTTGGTGACCTATATTTACAGGACATGTGAGTGATTACTTTGATGTTGACTTATATTTACAGGACATGTGAGTGATTACAATGTTGGTGACCTATATTTACAGGACATGTGTGTGATTACTTTGTAGGTGACCTATATTTCCAGGACATGTGAGTGATTACTTTGTAGGTGACCTATATTTACAGGACATGTGAGTAATTACAATGTTGGTGACCTATATTTACAGGACATGTGAGTAATTACAATGTTGGTGACCTATATTTACAGGACATGTGAGTGATTACTTTGATGTTGACTTATATTTACAGGACATGTGAGTGATTACAATGTTGGTGACCTATATTTACAGGACATGTGAGTAATTACAATGTTGGTGACCTATATTTACAGGACATGTGTGTGATTACTTTGTAGGTGACCTATATTTACAGGATATGCGAGCGATTACAATGTTGGTGACCTATATTCACAGGACATGTGAGTGATAACTTTGTAGGTGACGTATATTTACAGGACATGTGTGTGATTACTTTGTAGGTGACCTATATTTCCAGGACATGTGAGTGATTACTTTGTAGGTGACCTATATTCACAGGACATGTGTTCGATTACTTTGTAGGTGACCTATATTTACAGGATATGCGAGTGATTACAATGTTGGTGACCTATATTCACAGGACATGTGAGTGATTACTTTGTTGATGACCTATATTTACAGGACATGTGAGTGATTACTTTGATGTTGACTTATATTTACAGGACATGTGAGTGATTACAATGTTGGTGACCTATATTTACAGGACATGTGAGTGATTACTTTGTTGTTGACCTATATTTACAGGACATGTGAGTGATTACTTTGATGTTGACCTATATTTACAGGATATGCGAGTGATTACAATGTTGGTGACCTATATTCACAAGACATGTGAGTAATTACAATGTTGGTGACCTATATTTACAGGACATGTGAGTAATTACAATGTTGGTAACCTATATTTACAGGACATATGTGTGATTACTTTGTAGGTGACCTATATTTACAGGACATGTATATGATTACCTTTTTTCTGGACCTTTATTTACAGGACATGCCAATGATTACCTTGTAAGCAATTTTGTCGCCCTGCCGTGGTGTGCCCTGTAGCGGAGGGAACTTTGTGTAGTCTTGTGCAGGAGATGGAATAACTGGCTTTGAGAAAGCAGGTCTTGGCTCGTCTAGACAGACTGATTCCTGGACTGGCTTCTGTACAGCAGTGGGCTGGTCATTCTGACAGAAAACATGCAAAGTTAACACAGAAAAACATTATCAAATCTAAATCACAACATCCTCCAATTTCTGTCTACAACTCTTCATCTTTCAGAATTAATGTCTTCAAAAATGCAACTTTGTTACATTTAGTTCTTTCAAGAAAAATTACTTTAAAGTCCTTAAGGTGGATTTATGGAAAAGACAGAATAAAACTTAAGTAAATATATAATGACTGATGTGTAAATGAGAGATTATCTAGCCATCAATTGTTTATGAATTAATCCACAGCAACAGCTACTATACCATGCAAAGGAATTATATCAATGAAATGTGTCCAGCTGCAAATGACTTTGATGATTCAAATCAATTTATTGATGTAAATCTTATTTCATTTTCAATATAAGTCTTTTTTCTATGAATTACAGTTAGCTATCATGAATATTGTAAAAGGTTGAAAAAAAGGGATCCCAGAGCTTGGCAGCCATCTACATTTCAGTCTCAAGATTAAACATACACATTCATTGACTAACAGGAAACTACAAATGTACTTGAAAAGTTGAGAGAGATCTTTCAAGAACTTTCTGTGAAATAGTAATAGCAAAATGTAAGTCAAAATCCAAGATTCCTGCCTAGCGTTTTACCCCTATACATGTACAACTTAGGACCATGGGGAATCTAATTATAACATGATGCCCAGAGGGCCTGTATCACTCACCTGCCCCCATTGGGTCCATAATCACCGTTTACACAAAATTGAGTCCCCTTGTCCCAAGGATGCTCCAGACTAAATGAGGATAAAATCCTTTAATCCCTACAGTAGAAGAAGGATTTTAAAGGTTTTACCTCTATTTTCCCTATTCAGCCTTGCCCCTTTGCCCCCAGGGGGGTCACACCCACCGTTTATACAATATTGGTTCCCACTCACCCAAGGATGCTTCAGACTAAATATAAGAATTTTCTATATTTCCCCTGATAGGTATGGAAGTTATACTTTCATTCCTACCGAAGAAGGATTTTGAAGAACTTGCTGTATTTCCCCTATTAGGCCCCGCCCCTCATGCTCTTAGGGGGGCAGATCCACTATTATACAAAATTGGTTTTCCTTCACCTTATAATTGTGAAAACAAAAAACAAAGGCTTACAATCACTTTTATACATTTAAGCAAGCAATGTGCACATAATTGAACAAATAAAAGGGTGGTATTTACATGACATCTTTGCAAGGATTCTAAAATGCAGACGTGAAGAGGTGAGTTTGGATGTCCAGGGTATTTGACTCTCTAATAGCAGATGGTAAGCTATTCCACAACGTAGCCGAAAACCCTCCCAAAGCATCAGTTTTCGTAGGTCACAGTATGAGATTTTGGGACACAATAAAGATTCTGACTCCGACCGCAGTGATCGTGACGGCTGATACAGGGTAACAAGCTCCTGAAGGTACTGAGGAGCTGTTCCATTCAGTGCCTTGTATGTGTACACCAGAATTTTGCATTGCGACCTGTATCGTACAGGTAACCAATGCAACGAATAAAGCACAAGTGTGATGTGCTCTCTCTTTCGAGTACGAGTAACTAGCCGTGCTGCAGTGTTCTGGACCCTCTGCAGACGACTAGTTAGTTTGTTGGATATACCACAGAGCAGGGCGTTACCATAATCGAACCGAGAGGTAACAAGTGAATGCACTGAAATCTTGCATGCATCTGCAGTTATAAACTGCCGAATACAGCCGATGTTCCTGATCTGGTAGTAACAGGATTTGGCAATAGCATTCACTTGTTTCTCCATGTTTAGTGAACTATCAGAGTATACCTCTAGGTTTTTAACAGCTAGAACAGTCTCAATAGTTCTGGCACCAACCTTGAGCTGGAGAGCCATTGTTTGCTATCACTTTGGGGAAAAGACGATTAATTCCGTCTTTTCCTGATTAAGCTTAAGCGTGTTGGCGTTCTTCCAGATAATGATATCTGTCAGACAAGCTTCCAGACTTTCTGAGACTGTATTCCAACTGTCCTGTGGTTTGATGACCATGTAAATTTGTGTGAACATTCCTGCAGAAGAAGAAGGATTTTAAAGAATTTTCAATATTTTTTACCTATTGGGCCCACCCCTTAGGCCCCTGGGGGACCAGACCAACGGTTGATACAAAATTGGTTCCCCTTCACCCAAAGATGCTGCAGATCAAATATGGAACAAATCCTTTCATTCCTACAGAAGAAGAAGAAGAATTTTAAAGAATTTGCTATGTTTCCCCTATTGGGCCCTGCCCCTGGGGGGCCAGACCCATGGTTTATACAAAATTGGTTTCTCTTCACCCAAGGATGCTTCAGACCAAATATGGAACAAATCCTTTCATTCCTACAGAATAATAAGGATTTAAAAAAAAATATGCTATATTTCCCCTATAGGGCCCCCTCCCTCAGCCCCAGGGGACCAGACCAACGGTTGATACAAAATTGGTTTCCCTTCACCCAAGGATGCTTCAGACCAAATATGGAACAAATCCTTTCATTCCTACAGAAGAAGAAGAATTTTCAAGAATTTGCAATGTTTCCCCTATTGAACCCTGCCCCTCAGCCCCCAGGGGCGCCAGACCCATGGTTTATAAAAAAAAATTGTTCCCCTTCCCCCAAGGATGCTTCTGACCAAATTTTGTCAAAATCTGCTTAGTCGTTCATAACAAGTAGCGATTTTTAGGAAAAGTTGACAGACGACGGACGCCGCGCCATGGCATAAGCTCACTGGTCCTTTGGACAAGGTGAGCTAAAAATGGAGAGAAATAGAAGTCAAGTGTTTCTTGAGAAAAAAAAATTAACAGCCCAAAGGTGTAAACATCCAACTTGGCCACCATCTTATTGGTCTGATCAGTCTCAAAACATAACACACAAAGGGGAACCTACATATTGAATTCGGGAAGATCTAGTCGGAGGTTCTTGATAATAGGTAGTTATAACAAAGTTAAACTTTCAAAAACGAAAGATGGCTGCTAGGTGACCATTTTGTTTTCTGGTCAGTCTCAAAAATTTAAAGGTAAAAGTAAGGAGCAAGGGGAACCTACATATGGAATTTGAGAAAGGTCTGTCATGCACTTCTTGAGAAATTGCAATAACAAATTGAACTGTCACAATCCAAGGTTTCAGCCAGACAGCCACCCTGTTCTTCTGTTCAGTTTCAAAATGAACATGCACAACTAAGGATCAAGTGAAAACAGTAACTAAATATGAAGTTTGATAAAAATGTGTACAGTACTTCTTAAGAAGTAGCGATAACAAGAATTGTCTGAAGACTACAGAAAGACTACAGATGAGAGGCAATTTGAAGAGTCCCCCATTGAATGATGGAAGAATAAAAAACAAACAAAATCTAAAAACCTACCCTACAGTTACCCACTATTATTTTTATACACAGAATACTCACAGTGATTATGATAGACTTGTTGGTGAGACTGGTGTTGAGTTGTAGCTCTTTGGACAGCTCCTTCCCCTGGGAGGCATTGAAGTACCTTTTCTGTCTTTGCCTGGTGTACACTGGTACACCATTAGCCAGTGCTGATAGCTTTAGCTGTACACTTGACATACCAGTGTCATCCTGTTCTTCCCCAATGAGAGGCTGTTGAAGTTTTACAATCTTGTGAGGAGGTCTTTTAGTAGATGGTTCCTGTACATTCTGGTATGGAGCTTTGTTAGTTGCCAGTTCCTGTACAGTCTCATTTAGAGGCTGGGTAGTTGGCAAATGTCTATCAAGTATGTCTGAATTATCTGTCACACTTTTGTATTCTCGTTCAACTTTCTCTAACAATTTTTGCTTTGCTTCTTGTAATGATTTCATCTGCTCTCCGCCGTCTGTCTTTGTGCCCTCCTTCACAGTCCAAGATTCTTGAGCAGGGAGTGTATCCTCCTCAGGCTCAGACTCATCAAACACTTTATGGTTGTTCTTCCTACCATAAATATCAATAGATGTTTTGAATGGTTTAGCATGAAATGGCTTCTGTATTTTGTTGTCAGAATACTTTTTCTTTTTGTTGTTTGGTTCACCTGCTTCTACTTCCATGTTTATTTTATGTTGTCTCTTTCTTCGTCTCCTACGCTTTTTTACACCTTTTTCCTCCTCATCACCCTCCTGCATTTTCTCATCCTTCCACACTCCATCCTTTTCCATTCCCTTACCTAATGATTCATGTCTGTTTTTGTTAGCAGAAGGCACTGACTTTGTAACACCGACTTCAGTTTCTACAGAATAATTAAGTGGCACAGTATTTGTTATTACTGTAGAGATAGAAGGTTTTTGTTGTTGTAATGGAGTTAATGATTCTATTTCGCTCTTTTTGTTGAAATTCCACACAGGACTTTCTGTTTTTCTTTTCTTCTTTTTAGGATTTTTCTTATTCTTTTTTGAAAACAAGGTATTCACTGACAGCTGACTTCCTTGTGTTTCATCAATTTGAATGTTTTTCTTTTTCTGTTTTCTCAGAGTTTTCTTCAGTTTACATTTGTAAGCTGTTTTCTCACATTTATCAAATTTTCTTTTCTTTTTTCTATTTTTAATTTTGTCTTGTGTGCTGGCAGTAAGCTCAATTTCCTCCATTTCATCTTTGCTATATAAATCAGCTGATTCGGCCCTTTTCTTTTCCTTCCTGACTGTACCTGGTAGGCTTTCCTTCTTGCTTATCTTTTTAGATTTGTCTTGGGTGCTGGGAGTAAGTTTATTTTCTTCTGTTTCATGGTAGTTATCTAAATCTGCAGATACAGTCCTTTTCCTCTGAGTTGTTAGAGACAGACATGATGGGCTTTCCTTATGGCTACTTTCACTACAAGTAAGACAATTTCAATTACAATATAGAACACATGCATATGTTTGAGGAATGTATGCCCGCAATCTTCTAGTATGCTCCAATGTTATACTCAATGGTATATAAAATATGTAATTTAAAAGAAGTGAAATACAGAATAAAAAAAATTAAGAAGTAGGTTTTAATTGTGGCTTCATTTATTTTTTTTAGTTCATTAAAGCACATACAGGAACAATGGTAAAAAAAACAATTTCTACATGTTATGCTGTTTTCAGTGTAGTAGGTTTTAATTGGACATAGAATTAAGGCTGCCTTCTAGCTATGGGCTTGAGGGAATTTCCCAGTGGTAAAGCGTCTGACTAGGAACCTGGAGATCAAGGGTTGGTGGCCCTCCCTGTGGTGACAGGGAGTTAGAACCTGGGTTGTGGTGTTCCAGGGCGAACACATTTAAAAAGGGGGGAGTAGTGTGGCAGGTTTTAATTGTACATATGATTAAGGTCCCCTTCTAGCTTTGAGTTAGAGGGAATTTACCTTTAGCTCAGAGGTAGAGGTGCTAGGAACCCGGAGATCGAGGGTTCAATCCCCGGTGGAAGCACACTATTCTCTCTCCTGTTACATCAGTATTGATCATGACAAGTCAATGGTTATATATTTAGCTTTATAGAAGGATTTACTTAATTGTTTCACCTGTCAGTACTAACATCTTAGTAGATATATATCATTGGTTATGCTTAAAAAATGGTCCACAAAACATTTTACAATTTGGGAGATATTACGATAGCATTTAGGTCCAGTACACTCTGCCGATTGAGCTATATAGCTGTAAAGACCTATAATAGCTCTATCGACGTATCTGAAATAGGTCTTTGGAGCTATTTTCATGTGATTTTCTTTTTGAAGGAAAACAAAACAAAGTGGCTTTTAAAAGAAGATTTTATCATTAGGTTGATAACAAAAGACATTAAATATAAGTATTCTTTTTAAAACATTATACTTTTTGTAGTCAACAATACCATAAACCTTATCGTTTTATGCGACTTTGCTATGATTTAATGAAAATTGAAATGTGAGAAATTATAGCTCAATACAGCTATAATTTATAGGTGAATATAGCTTTATAGGTCTTTATAGCTATACAGTATAGCTCAATCGGCAGTGTGTACTGGACCTGACTTTGTGTCCTCAAGTCTAGCAGGGCTCGCTGAACCCTTGGACATCAAAACTGATGTTTATAACGGTGCCCAACAATTTGATACTTATCACATTCATTTAAGACACCTTCAATTTTCTATTAATTCAACATTTTATGTTGACTGAAAAATAAATTGTACCTGACAACCACGCGGTCATTATCCCGCAAAATAACTGTTCTTTCCGATTTTGGTAAAACGCAACCATCTAGTGACATCACTAATGGGGTAGTGTTTCCAAAATATCTCTGTCTGATCTCATTTTCTAAATCTTTGATGGTATACATAGATTCATTATTAACTAATAGCCATGTTGGGTCCTTGTGTGCATTTTCGAAGAAAACGCGTATGCGAACGTGTTTTTCCATGGTGGCTGACATATTGGAAATTGGAAGAAAGTGTCTAATACAGAAGAGTTCCAAAATATTAAAGTTACGACCAGTCTTTTCCCCTTATTTTTGAATTAATCTAAAATTTACGAAAATATAAGGTAAAATTTAAAAAGAAATTGTGTACCACACCATTTTCATTTCTGTTATCATTTTAGACACAAAGACTATGGATAAGTAATTTTATTTATCATTTCCGGTCTAGTAGGGTTATTTCCCTTAGCAATGTTGTGCAAGCCACATGTCAGCTGGCATCATTTTGAATAGATATACTATTTGAAGCACTTCTATTTGTCAGAAAAAGTAATGCTTATGGTGAGTTGGGGTTTGTATAGGTCAGTAGGCAAATACAGTTTGTATGTACGCTTAACACATGCACTTGTAACCACTGGCCGACTATAACGTTAGGCTATCTGTAATCTCTTATTCACAACCCCTAACCTGATGTTTTTCATAAAAAGATACCATCCACTTTTTATTTCTTCTACAAATTGGTATTTATGGCACGTGGTTTTATGAATAGAATGTGAAATACTATCAGGGTCATGTAGGCCCTTGAGCAGGTGTTACTGTACCCTAAATTGGACACTGGTATTTTAGCCAATATTGGGGGAATACACGATCAATATCATCAGAAAAGTATACATAGTTCAAATATTTTAGAGTTAAAGGGAGTTCTGATTAAATTTCTCCTCCAAACTAGTGTTAGTTGATATAATATACTTTTGATAATGATATCCAAATAAATAGCGTTGCAACGCACGTAAATAAAAAAAGTTTTGTTTTGGTAAATATTCTTACCTTTAAATGTCCATGTAACGCCAAAAAAGCTTATATACAATTAAATGGTCGTAAAAGTTTATCACTCAATGAAAACTGCATACATGAAAATCATTTTTTTAATCGGACGGAGAAGAGGAGATAGTCAGTTGTTTTGGACTAGCATAATATGACTGGACTCGGACAATCTCTCTCTCTATGTAAACATGAGGTGGAATTGCACGTCCAGACAGGGGTTCAAATCCAGGACCCTCCAAACTCTAGGCAGACTCTCTACCAATTGAGATACCTGGTTGCAGACAATCGACCCAGTCCAGTTCCGCTACATTCCTCCCTCCTTTTTCTTAGTGTTCGCCGACGAAGACACAAACATTCACAACCAAAGGTTCGGGTATCCTTTTGAAAAGCTTATACCTAATGCTTGAAACAAGGGTTGGTCACAGGCACCACTGTAACAGGAGATAAACAAATTCACAGCCAGACCAGGGTTCAAACTCTGGACCCTCCAAACTCTGGACAGGCGCTCTACCAATTGAGCAATCTGGTCGCTGATGATAGACCAAGTCAAGTTCCGCTACATATATAGATATACTAAGTGCTTGACCATCAACACATTGATCTTAGGTTTCTTATTTGTTTAATATCTTAAGTCGCTCCTGAAATAAGTGCAAAAACAATTGATCTGTACTTTTGGCTGTGTTAACCCTGTACCAGATTCCCTATAAGCACAGGAAGATGCCTATTTGGTTTGTGTGAAATAGATAGTTTGCAGTAAAAAAAAAAAAAGGATTATCATTTTTCTTTTTAAACATGATGGCAGTTGCTTAGAGTACAAGTGATATTGATTTTTCTTCATTTTCTTTTAATCAACCTCATTTATATTGATGGCCTTTACTTGTTTGCTATAATTAATAAAGCTTTTTTTTCAGCGGCTGTTAAAATATCCTTCATGTGATTGAGATGTAACTAATCATGTCTTCGGAGGTTCAAATACCACAAGTACAAAAGATATTGAAAAACTACAAAAAGGTGAGGAAATATCTATAACTTACCTTTTTAACTGTTGCACTGGAGTTAAATCTAATTCATCCAAGAAGTTAGTTCAGGGATGGGTGAGAGGGGAGGCTTATCAGCAGTTTTAATAAAGGAGGGTTCAGCTATCAACATGTCCAAAAAAGTCATCTTTTCAGATGTATCTTATGACAGGCAGTGGTCGAACTTTTGTTTAGTCAACAGTAGACAGACAAGAGTCGGACTCTGTACAACAGTAGACAGACAAGAGTCGGACTCTGTACAACAGTAGACAGACAAGAGTCGGACTCTTTACAACAGTAGACAGACAAGAGTCGGACTCTGTACCAAGGTTCTACATTACAAAATAACTAAACATTGTCATTATCACTAAAACTTGGATGTGTACATCAGATAAAATTGTAATGATGACTGATCTTTTTCAGGGTTTAAGACAAGAATATGATGTCTTCTTGAGCAGATTAGGAAGTCCTAATATTTCGGTAAGTAACATATCAAAGATTATGTTATTTGTCCTCTCTATCAGTTTTATTGTTACACAGAATATCAAAGGGTTTTATGTAATATGAAATTTCTAATGTGATGCTTTTTTTGTTTTTTCATTTTGAAAAAGTGATGCATCCAGTAAATTAAGATGATATATATAAAAGCTGTCTTCAGAAATTATTTGAAATTATACTGTATTACTGTTTAATTTTTTTCACGTTTCCTTATGTGGCCAACTAGCTTAAGAATGATATATATAATTATGTTTTATTTTTTTTATTTCAAGTCTGCACAGCTAAAGGTGTATATTCAGTCTTTGAGGGATTGTATCACATTCCTGGATAAGGACTATGAAATCCTTGTTGGAGTTCTGTTGGTAAGGATTTTTGAGCCGATAAACATTTAACGTTACTCATATTTGCCAACCTGTGAAGTTCCCAATGTGGGTTATGACCCCACCCCCCAGTGAAAATTCTGTGGGTGTGTTAGTGTCCAAAAACACTTATTAGTTCACCTGATCCGAAGCTTTACGCCATACCGCAGCGTCCTTCGTCCGTTTGTCAACTTTTCCTTTAAAACGCTACTAGTCATGAACAACTTGGCAGATTTTGACCAAATTTGGTCAGAAGCATCCTTGGGGGAAGGGGAACACATTTTGGATAAATGGTGTGTCTGGCCTCCCTGTGGGCTGAAGGGGAAATATAGCAAATTCTTTAAAATCCTTCTTCTTCTGTAGGAATGAAAGGATTTGTTCCATATTTCATCTGAAGCATCCTTGGGTGAAGGGGAACCAATTTTGTTGGTCTGAAGGGTCTGGCCCCACATGGGCCTGAGGGGCAGGCCCAATAGGGGAAATTCTTTAAAATCCTTCTTCTTCTGTAGGAATGAAAGGATTTGGTCTGAAGCATTCTTGGGTGAAGGGGAACCAATTTTGTATAAAACATAGGTCTGGCCCCCCCCCCAGGGGCCTGAGGGCAGAGAGGCAGGCCCAATAGGGGAAACAGAGGTAAAACCTATAAAATCCTTCTTCTACCATAGGGATTAAGGGATTTAGTCTGGAGCATCCTTGGGCCAAGGGGACTCAATTTTGTATAAGCAGTGGGTGTGGTCTCCCAATGGGCAGAAGGTCAGGGGCAATTGGGCTATATTGATTTAAGCCACTTCTTCTCTGGAACTAAGAGATGGATATCCACCATATTTGACTGGAAGCATCTCTCGGTAGTGGAGATCCAAATTGTACAAATGGTTGAGCTGACCCCCTAGAGGGCTGAGGGGCGGGGCCAAAAGGGGTCAATTTGGCTATATTGCTAAAAAAGACTTTTGTAGAATTATGCCATGGATATCGATCATATTTTGTCAGAAGCATTCATGGGAGGCAGGGATTCAAAATTGTACAAATTGTGGGGCTGACCCTCCTGTGCAAAGGGGTGGGGCCAAAAAAAGTTTATTACTTGGAAATGGTTGAGATCATCATGGTATAACCATATATACAATTGTTGAGTATAAAGAGAAGCATGCACATTTGCTCCCAGGATGGCCTAGGGTCTGGCCCCACCCTTTAAGACATAGTCCCTGGGTCATAACTTTGAAACGGTTGAGATCCTCACCCCAGAACTATATATACAAATGCTTGGCATAAAGAGACAAAAGTAGTCATGGTATTAGAATAGACCCTGGGGTCTGACCGAACCCCTAGGGACCTAGTTTCTTAGTCACAGCTTGGAAACAGTTGATATCCCCACCCTATAACCATGCATATATGCAATTGCTGAGTACAAAGAGATGAATGCACATCTGCATCCAGGATGGCCTTGGGGTCTGCCCCACCCTTGGAGACTTAACCCCTGGGTCATAACTTCAAAATAATTAAGATCCCCACCCTAAAACTATATAACCAATTGTTCGGCATAAAGAGACGAATGCAGTCATGATATTATAATTGATCCTGGGGTCTGGCCACAACCCTAGGGATCTAGTTTATGAGTCACAGCTTGGAAACAGTTAAGATCCCCATCCCATAACCATACATTAAATTGCTGGGCATGACAAATCTAATACAGACATACTACAAGAATTGGGATTGGGGTCTGGCATATTCCCTTGGATCTCATTTGGAGAATATTTTGCCATGATTGCTTAGATATATCCAGGTGAGCGATACAGGCCCTCTGGGCCTCTTGTATCCTTATTTAGTCTGGAACATCCTTGGACCAAGGGGACTCAATTTTGTATAAACGGTGGGTATGACCCCCCCTAGGGGCATAGGGGTGGGGCTGTTTGAAGTTTGTTCTGGCTATATCTCAATGCAAGTACTGGATGGATCTTTCTGAAATACAGCACCTTCCATGGAGTGCTATATCTTTACTTCATACCAATTATTTTAAACATATTCAGGTGCCCTCTGGGCCTCTTGTTTGACAAAATCCATGGCACATCTATAAATAATTATTCATATATTTAATTTTTTCATACAGTTTTGTAAAATACAAGATGTATATACAATGTATCAGTGTAAAATGTTCAATAATTTAAAAATTAAAATACATTAATTGCTTATATGTGAAAATTCATCACCAAATAAATCAATATGAACAAGAATTTTCAACGGGAGGGGGATGGGATTAAACATGTATTATTTTTTTATCATAAACTTCTCTGAATGCAGAATATTAAAAAGTGATATTTAAATGACCTAAGATTTAATTTCTTAAGCTAAATTTTATTCTAATAATAAGCACGGTGGCACCAGAGAGCTATTGTATTTTATTTTAATTGTTTGTCGTGTCCCTAGACCCCTAGTTGGATTAGAGAAATATATGTAATGGAATCATTAAGCTAATGGCACTTATGTTATTATAGAAAGTAGATTGGACGAGGAGGGAGCCTGCTGTGGTTCTGGAATATCAGACCCTTTTACACAACCTAGTGTCTGCACACACATACTATCTGCGTGCAGGTCTACGCATGCTTGTCAAACACTTTCTGCCAAGTAAGTGACAAAATACATCAGAAAAATGTGCAAAATACTAATGAATATAATTAGAATGATATAATTAAATAATTAAAATGCCAGGTAAAGTTTTGATTCTATCAAATTTATGAAAATAATTTAAAATCATTCAATATCAGTTCTATAGATTACTTCTTACCACTCGTCATACAACATTGTTAATGGGGTTTTCTTCAATTATTTTTTTAGAAATTCCAGAGAGTTCCAAGAATTCACTATCGGAGAGTGTAGTTTTGGACAGTCAACAGCTTCAGGAACATGAGACAAGCTTTATCAATGTACACTTGGTGATAAAAGCCATCTCTGACATTGTACCAATGTAAGTTCAGGCTGAACTATACGTAAAGCTTTACAAAACAAACACATTTCAATAGTTACTGGCTTTGATTAATTTTCAGTTCTTATAAAGCCAAAGATCCTAATGACAGAATTAGTAAAATATTTGATAAACATCTTGTCATCTCAACACACTTTCAATCAACATGTGTAAACTCATCACTATAAGTAATCGATCTTATACCCCATAGACTTATCAAACATTGACGTGTGATTCCTATTCCCAACAGACATCAATGTCTAATCCATACCTCTACCTTACATGGACATCTGACCCATGCACACACCTTACATGTATCGGAGGTCTGTAAAATGTGATACTAAACCAGTGTTGTTACTCACTGTAGGAGCCCAATGGTCCTGATGCCTCTCCTTAGTGATTACTTCCCTTACATGACCAAGGACACATACCTACAGGAGTGCTATGTCAAGAATCTACTTCAGATCACCCATTACATGCCCAATCAGCGACAGGCCATATTAGAACTTATCGTGGACCGAATGCTGAAACTAGATGTGAGTATCAAGTTGGAGGAATTCGTTCTACAAAAATATCATTTCAGAAATCATGAATCATGAGACAAAAAGCTTTATGAGAAGAGAAATCCATAAATATATATAACATTTTCTCAAAGGAACTGCACATTGACCATCATGGCCACTTTTGTACATCATTTGTAAGGTTTAACCAGAGATAAGAGTATCTTTGTTGTATTGGTCATGTTTATTGTCATGAAAATTAGTGATAACTTGAATTGTATATTGTATTGCATTGATTCTGTGTTAAAAATAGTTATTTTGTTTTATATATGAATGGGCTTTAATCTATATCAAGTGTTCCATCATATAATTTTCATTGTTATTGGATGCCTTTTTCAAAATATATCATACACAGCCACTCACCAAGGCTATTGTATACATACGTTTAAGATCAATGACAAATTATTATACAAAGTCACTCTTTAAATCTGTGATATTGAACATTTACGCTGTTTGTCCCTATAGTACGTATCATGGGCTACACAAACTTTCTTCGCTGCAGGTACGGTCACCCAAACATGAGATTGCAGAGGCCGAGGAAAATACAGAAGATAACGACATCATCTTTGATATGGTAACTAATACGGCAGCAAGTATATGATATATATTATTATACAATACTGATTTTTTTGTCTGTTTTTATGTTAAATATTCAAACTCAAAACATAATATCAAAGTCTGACGTGAAAGCAATGTTATATACAGCCACATACTGTGAGATCATTGACTTGGTGGACGATGACTTTAGAGTTGTGTAACAAGTTGAGGTGCAGATGTAGTTATTTTTCTCTCACTTTGATATCCTTGACACCATGTACTGTAATATAAATTTGGAATTAAGTAATTCGTTTTGTCTTTTATTGGTAGCTGAGACTATCGGTATCATTCTCATACTAGAAGTCCAACAGTCATTTAACTTCATATTATGGATAAATCTCGAGGAGTACAAAAATTAGGGATCACAAAAAAAAGACTTACAGCT